CTCCAACCCTTCATCAGTTACTGAACAGTGGAAATGTTTAATTCACACTGTGTGAATGAAGTGTCAAAATGTATTAAGTTTTGCATGAATGTAGTGTTTCATCATTGAAGTCTTTATATATTAATTGAAAGTTTCAATTGAATGCTGTACTCCTGTCTTGAAATAATGAAATAATAATGTGTCAAGTCAACTATGTTACTTGCGTTAACTGAGTGACTCTTACTGTCAACTATGTTACACCTATTTTTTTTTTTTCAAATTTAAAATAAATAAAATGGTACTTCTGATATCTTTTAAAGTTTACTGCACATCTACATAGTTTGGAGTTTTGCACATCATCTCTTAAAACTATAAAAATGACCTGAATGGTTTATAATAAAAAAATATTCCTGTCCTGAATGAAAATGCTGAACAAATCACATGTATATCTGAAAAAAATAACATCTGAAGTGGATTGATGCACAGTGGAAATGTTTTTTTTTTTGTGGTCTGACGAATCAACTACAATACAATACAGCTGAAGACTTGTACAACTGAAGAATGGCAAAAAATTCTGCTTTTGAAATTGGATCAATTAGTGTCTTAAGTCCCCAAACGATTATTAAGTGCTGTTTAAAGGAAAGATGATGGTAAACATTCTCCAGTCCCAACTTTTTAGAATGTGTTGCAGGCATCATGTTTTGAATGAGCATATATTTACAAAAAACAATAAAATTAATAAGATAAATCATCAATTATCATGTTTTTGTACTGTTTTCAATTTAATACCAGTCAAAAATAAATTAGCAATCATTATTTTTTGCTTTTTATTGGCATGTCACATACTGTCCCAACTGCAGTTACATGCTTTGGGTCAACAGTTGAATGTCACTAATGCACATTTTGCATTTGTTGGTTGTAGATTGAGAATCTGCAAAAAAGCAAGAATAGCATGTTTCTGGGTGATGGAGAAATTAAATATGGAATAACTGTGATGAGTCCTATTCTATGAACTAATTATGTGCTTTGGGTCACGACTTTGAGCAGCATCAAAGGTTAAAATGAATGGTTATCAAAATTATGAAAGGATGAAAGAATAAAGAAATGACAGCAGGGTTGATAATTGAGTCCTGTCAGTATGAAATGTATTTTTGAGTTTTGGTTCAATATTGTTGTCAGATTTGTTGACACAATCAATAGGTTTCTATGGGATGCTGGCAGGACGAAAGAGAGGACAACAAGGTTAAACAGAGGGATGCTATCAGAGTTGTTTTTGTGCTATAAATAATATAAACAATGTTATCAGCGCTACTAGTATGAACTTTTTTTCCTATCATAATGAATGAAGTGCTCATTTGCTAATTCATATGGGGTGGCCAGAGGGATAGTTATGTAGGATGTTGCTCAGGGGCCTCCAAATGTTCAGAAATGTTCTGCTGGTCACAGTAGAGGGCGCTGTTCTATAAAAAAAGGACAAAGATCCTCATGAAAAACATCAGGTCAGCCTTTTTTCCATCTGCCTCCTCAGCCCAAACTGAAACAATTGCTTTCCCTGTTGTTTGATGTTTTTGATGTCTATATTGAATAATAAACCCACATATAAGGGCTCAGTGGCATATTTTGTTCATCCTTTTCTTTTGTTTATTGTTAAAAAGTTAGTAATTAGTTGTACAAACTAAGCTCCAAAAAACGTTGGGACAGTATGTGAAATGCTAATAAAAACAGAAAGCAGTGATTAGTCAATTCTTGACCGGTATTAAATTGAAGACAGTACAAAAACACAATATTTTATGTTTTACCTTATGAACTTTTTGAAAAAATGTCATTCCAAATTTGATGCCTGCAACATGTCTTTGGAGCATGTTTATGTTGTGTTTGTTTTGTGTTTGTGTCATCTTTCCTTTCAACAACACTTAATAAACATTTAGGGACTGAAGACACAAACTGAACAGAAGCAGCTTTTTGCCATTCTTATTTTAAACAAGTATTTAGCTGTGCAGCCCTACAAGGCCTTTGTTCTTGTATTTTGAGCTTAATAGGTTTTCTATGGAAGACAGTTCTGGACTGCAGAAAGGCCAGTCCAGCACCTGCACTCTCTGAAATAAACATGGATGCCCCTGAAAAAGACCGCAGCATATGTTGGTCCAAAACGTGTTGTACTTTGCTTTCACATATGTGCAAGTTACCCATTGATAGATTTTACCTACTGCCGCAACCAGAAATGGGTTTATATTCCCTTTTCCTGGTAGGTTAGTTATAGTGTTTTCTTTCTAGATTAGGCCTACAGTTCACCCCTGGAGCAATTTCATTATCAAAGGTAGCTAAATGTCTGTGGTTGGGTTTGAGATATTTTATGTAGGCATTATCTTCTTTAGGGCTTGACCTGTCACGTAAATGCCAGCAGTTCAGGACAGACAGTTGTGCTACGCTCTATAGTGAACAAACCCCCTGTTGTTTTTAGTGGACTTCTTCTGTTGCTACTCATACAATTTTACACGTATACCTTAGTTATTAGTTCACATTAGAGAACCAACTTTGTTCTTCAATAACAGCAACATTTATAACATTTGTGTGTCATTTTTGATTGTGGGCAAGTTGGCTGACTGTAGCTTAAAAAATGATCAAATTCAGTGGTGTAAAAGCATGAAGATAAAATTGCTTATGGAGTATGGAGGATAGAAGAAAGTAAAGCAGGGTTGGATTGATGTGCTAAAAGTGTGAGGTACAGTTAAGTTTGCTGAGTTGAGATTTTCTGACAAGACTGCTGGGTTTAGACTGAAAAGTCAGGGAGAATCAAAATTAATGGGTTTCTATGGGATTGTAGAGGGATGACAAAAATAACAATTACAGAGGATTAAAAACAAATGGGTGTTTAGGACACCCTTCATGTGTGTACCAACTTTGGTGATTTTTAAAGCAAGAGAGGCTTGAAATATGATTTGAAGTCAGTGGGATTAAGAGTGAAAAAAAAATAACAAGAAGGGATGAAACAGTTGAGTGTTTTATATCAGTACTCATAACCTTCACAGTAAGTATAGTGGTTTTCACATGAATGTTGTCAAAATAAGAGTGGTTGGGAAAATGTCCCAAGTAAATCTATTGGCAGACGTACAGACAAATGAAAAAGAGGGATGAGGGTAATTTACAATGTAAGTTCAAAAGTTTGAAGACAATGGCTCGAACAGTGGTCTTTCTGAAACCAACGGTACTAATGGGGAGTTTGCCTCTCTCCCATTCCCCTTTCCTGCAATAACAACCTCTACTCCTCTGGGAAGGCTTTACACTAGATGTTGAAACATTGCTGTAAGAATCTGATTGCATTCAGCTACAAGAGCATTAGTGAGGTCAGGTACTGATGTTAAATAATTTCTGGGTCACAAACGCTACTCCAACTTACCCCAAAGGTATAGAATGGAGCTCCATCACTCCAGAGAATGCAGCTCCACTGCTCCACAGCCCAGTGATGGGGGGCTTTATACCTCTCTAACTGATGCTTGGCATTGGGCATGGTGACCTTAGGCTCATGTGTAGCTGCTTCATTCTGTCCCATTCTATCCGTTTGTATAATTTATAGAGATTATACAAACTGTGTGGGCACAACTGAACACCTGTGTCAGCAATATGGGCATCCTTAAGTAGCTGTATTCACTTATTAGTAGGGACATACTTTTGGACACTTCAGTGTATTCTGGTAAAAAAAAAAAAGTTGTATAAAGGAGCATAGAACAAAAATGTTTGGTGCTATGGTGCTACCTATAAAACTACTGGAGAGAAAGTGTTTAGAAACATTAGAAAAGTTCCATGGAGAAGAAAAATATAAATATACACACACATAAAGACTCAGAGGCCATGTGTAGGATCACTTCATTTTGCATAGTTAATAAAATTGCTATATTTGTGTTGTAGACATTGGAAAGGAGTCAGTACTTCTCTCTACAATGAACCATTTCACATGAAACCACTGAATGACTTTGTTTACATCTCAATGACGGAATCACGTAAAAATTAAAGAAACAAAACAAAAAAAAACAAACAGTGGAATTCTCTTTGTCAACCACGCCCTTTAGAGTTTAATTTATTATCACTGAGATGGAAAAAGGTTATTATAAGAACATATATTAGTGCCCCTCAATTATCCCGCAACCCAAGGCTAAGAAGCAATAATCTTAATCCTTCTATCATGCTCTGTGTCAAAATTTGTCTTTTTCAGGCATCAGTGTCTCTAAAATACCATTACACTTTATAACTTTTTCATGAAACCTGGTGTAAATGTGTGTTTTTATAAAGTCTCAACACTATTTGGGTACAAAGATACTGTTCAGGATCAAATTTGATCCTGTAGTTCAGAATGACAATCGAGAATGTGGCAGACTAGGCAAACACAGTGCAGATAAAGGTTATTACAATTTGTAAAGGTACAATTTGTGAGATAAAGTTACAATTTGTAAGTTTTTTTTTTACACACACATACACACACACACACACACACACACACACACACACATACAAAACACACATCTCATGTTTCCCTTCCATGTAAGTGCACTCAAACACACATACACACTGTCCACTGGAACTAAATATTTCTCGCAGGAAAGTATAATTCAGACGTGTAATTGGGGCAGGAAAAATGGAAACTCTTCTGGTTTCTTTTGTAACATAAGGGTCAGCTTTAACCCATAACATATAAGTTGTGAATTCATTCATAATGTGAAGTCATCAACACTAACAATATCTGAAGTACATACATGCTAAAAAATACAATAAACTAAGTTAATCTAAGTTGTTGGCAAGTAGGGTCAAAAGAAATTGTAGAGTAATAAAATTTCTAGGACTGTTGTGAGCTGCAAACATTAATGATGTAACCGATTTGCAAGCGTAAGAGAAGGGTTAAAGAAGGCCTGCTCGCTCAGTCTCTTCCTACAGAAGTAACGTGGTTACCGCAAGAGGGCGCTGTAGTGTAAGATACGCTGCAGAAAAAGTGGGCGGGGTTTGATTTGATTAATGAGGGGGCTTACACTGTGGTCTAGTGGTAAAAGAAAATGCTTTTGGTGAGACATACTTTTAAAACAGAAATACACAAAATGTACGCCTAAGAATGAAGAACTTATCGCGAGAGTGTAGAAGTCTCGTTGAGTGAAGAGTTTGTTTAGGTTTAAAAAGAAAAAGCATCGCGTGAGTTAAGTTTCAGAAACAGAGGTGTAGGCGAGAAGAGGGATCTTCTGTTTTTAGAAAAAAGGCCACTTACAAAGCTGGAAAAGAGAGACTCGCCTTTAGTGAGTCTGAGTTCTGTGTGGTCAGCAGGCGGCGGGGCTTCATCAGCTTTCAGCTCCACCAAACAGCCTGTCCAGCAGCTGCACGTGCGCGCCGGAGGAACTAGCCATAAGTTGCGCTAAGTTTAAATGGGCGGGGAGGGGAAACGCTAGGAGCCATTTATAGACTGAGCGAGTGGAGGGAGAGAGAGAGCCATAAGTTTCATATACTGTCACATGGAGCTGTACAGAAGACCTGAAACCACGGAGAACCGGTTCCATTCTTGAGAGCAGAAAAGGAGAAGAAGAGACATCTCTCTTTGTCAGACACCGAGACTGAAGAGGCCTTAGAAGACATCCCACTCCTCTCAGCACTTATCTTTAAGAGACTGGTAAGCTGAAGAGGCTCTATGTATAGAATGTACACATATAGAGGAGTGTATGTAAACACATTGGTAAGCTCATGAGTATTTATAGAGTATGTAAAGGAGGTCTGTGAGCAAACAGTGAGGAGAAACTTAACTGGGAAAAATAACAGCATGTGCACATGGCGTGGGTTGCTGTGAGGCTGATGTCCCTTTAAGGACTGAAGGATTGCATCAGAGAGTTTCAACCAGAATTATAGCTGTTTAAATAATACTGAATATGCCTGCCTGCTGTATGAATTGTGCTATTGTATACACTCTTTATTTATAATACGTTTGTGTTTTTTAAATTGTAAGTCAATTATTATATCACTTGTTTGCAGTCACATGGCTGATTATGTGGCACCTTTTTAATAAAGTGTTTTTAAGTTACTTATTTTATTAGTATTTTATGATTTTTTTGTGGAAATTTCCATCTATGATGTATTTAAAGTGCCATATTTGCACAGGCTGCATGTTTTAGCAGTACATGCACGTTTGGTGTGCAGTCAGATTGGGAAATATTTATAAGTTATTTCAGGGTGACTGAATTCCATTTCACAGTGAATGCAGACATAGAACAGTAATAGTTTCATTGGCATTTACATTAGGGAAGTAGACCAGTTGTGTGCTTCATACAGATCTCTTTTTCTTGAACGATGGTCCTCTATTATTAGAATCTGTTCAAAACTTCACTAACAGCTAGGGATGGGTGGTATGGCAAAAATATCATATCGCGATACTTCAAGACATCTTCATGGTACACGATATGCATCACAATATTTAGTTTAGTTTATTTGAATTTTAATAAGCTGGAACAGACAAAATAGAACATGTAGTGCCACATATAAGAATGTAGTAGTAGTAGTAATAATAATAATAATATAATAAAACCCCCTACAGATACAATGTATTGTTGCACTAAATTAAATTAAACTGGCCTAGTTATGCTCACTTTGTAATGAAACATGTAGTTTAGTCATCATCATCACAATGTTGATAAAATATTGTCATACTACCCACCCCTAGTAACAGCATTCAAAGAAGGAACGTGGAGACTCCTTTTTAGCTACACATAATGTATGTGATTGACAATTTTCTGTACCCCATACATATATATATATATATATATATATATATATATATATATATATATATATATGTAAATATATAAAATCAATGAAAGAGTGACTCTGACATAATTTCTTTGGATCAGGACACTAATATGTGTACAGTCTCGTGCCAGAGAGGTGCTGACCATGCACTTGCAGTTCATGTGAAGGAAGCAGCTGTGTGTGTGTGTGTGTGTGTGTGTGTGTGTGTGTGTATGTGTGTGTGTGAGCGTCATCACTTACTTTGGGAAGTGATCTTTGACCTGTTGAAATTCTGTCCAATTTCCAAAGTGATAGCAGCCTTGACATTGCCTGCTGTGTGGTCAATACAATCTATTACGTAAATAGATTTTTATAACATTTATAAATAAACACCTGGTTATTCCGCTTGATATCTTAGTACCAAGAAATTGATCATGGCATTTTCAGCATTGGTGTGCATGATCATTGCATATTAAATTGACTCCAGACAAAGCCTGAGATGTATGACAAATTCGATATAAAATGTAAAACAGTTTAGATGTATGCTCAAGTAGGAGCACTATACAAATACTCAGCACACACATTACAGCAGTGAGAGTGATAATGCTAATGTTGTGGTGAAGAAGATTCTTGTCTGTACATGCATTTTACAATTCCTGAGGGTTTCTGCACAAACTGTGTGGCAGACAGCTTGGGATAGCCCTTTGAATTTGCTCTTATAAGAATTAAATTACAGTGTCTGAGGCTGGTGGTTGAATTTTGCTATGGGAAAAAATGGTAATCAGAAATAACTTCTGGATAAATTACACCCTTTTTTAAATATGTATTTTGCCTTTCAGTCCTTTTAATCTCTGTTTGCATCACAGGAGTTTACCCTTCATGGCCAAAGAGAGTAAATGACATTGTTCATATTTAATCCCAGTCTTAGGGGTTGACTCAAGGTCCAAGGAATTCAAGGTGGGTGTTGTCTATCGCGTGTGAAAATGTGAACAAGACCACGTGAATGATGTGCAAACTCCACAGAGAAGGGACCCTGGTCTCCTGGCCAGGGAATCAAACTCAGGCCCTTCTTGCGGTGAGGCGACAGCGCTATCCTATGCTAGCTCTAGCCCCTACTGTAAAATAAATATTATGTATTAAATAAATAATGTTAGTGATGTTTCTGTGCTCCTGTATTCTCGGTGTGGAGCACTGGAGTTCTGGTCAGAGCTCTGAGTGGCAGAGAACAGATCTTTCTTTGTTTGTAACCCTAAGGGCTGCAGCATCAATATGAGAGCGCATGTGTGTCAGAGTGTGTCTGTGGCTGTAAAATGACCAGTGATAAACAAAATATTCACTAACCGGAGATCACATATATCACAGTAACATGATCCGCTCAGAATTTAATATGTAAACACATAAACAAAAGTGATGATCACAGTTACAAACTAGCTCACTAAAACAGCAAACTAAACCGTGTCTTACAAAGTGAAATTAACTCAAGTACACAGCTAGCAAGCATCATTCAGACCTTAACAACAGTGAGTAAAGGATATTCACTTCATTCTCACTTCAGATTTTTCACAGTAGATGTCAGAAACTTGTAGACAGTTATATGAAACAATTACTTAAAGTTGTTTCTGCCAAAGGTAGCAGAACCAGTTTCGAAAGCTAGGGGTGTACTTACTTTTTCAAAAGACAAAAATGACTTCTCTGTTATTTATTTTTTTAATACGATTGCAAAGTCAGATTTCTATTGTTGTTTATGTTATATGAGCTCATTAGTACAAGTGAGTTACAGCTACAGATGATATCTGCTGTTACTCATGTGAAGAAATAAGTACACCCCGTGAAATGTTTTGATTTTTTTCAACATATTTGGAGATACAGATATCAGGTCTTCATTTAAACAGTGTTGATAGATAAAGGTGCTATAATTTAACAAGTGACACTTAGAATTAACATTTTTAACATTCTTTATGTAATTGTAATAAACAGTTATCAATTTTCTAATGTGGAAAAAGTAAGAACACCCCTTGTCATTGGAGTGTGTGGTATTATAATGCCTAGATTAAAAGACATCTACCATTAAAAGGAGACTGTGTAAATTTGATCTGCATGGGAGGTTTGCCAGGAGGAAGCCTTTGCTGTCTGAGAAGAACATCGGGACAAGCTTGCTAATGAATATCTGAGACCAGGACTTCTGGAACAGTGTGCTATGGACAGACAAAGATAGAGTTATTTGGCCACAGTACCAGAAGCCTTGTTTGGAGAAAACCAAAGAGAGCATTTGATCAGAAGAACCTTGTACCAATTGTAAAACATGGGGTGGAAATGTCATGGTTTGGGGCTGCTTTGCTGCCGTAGGGCCTCACAACGTGCAATCTTAAAATCGACTATGAGTTCTCTTTAATACCAGAGAATGCTTGAGGAGAATGTGAGACCATTTGTGAACGTTGAAGTCGAGAAAGTGGACCTTCCAACAGGATAATGATCCTAAACATACAAGTAAATACACCAAAGGAATTGCTGAAAAAGAAGAAATGGAGGGATATGGAATGGCCTAGTCAAAGCCCAGACCTGAATCCCATTAAAATGCTTTGGGAGAATATGAAGTGGGCTGTACATGCAAGAAACCCCTCAAACATTGCACAGTTGAGAGAACTCTACATGGAGGAATGGGCAAAAATTTCTCCCAGAAGATGCCAGAAACAGTTACAGGAAGCGCCTAAATAAAGTTATTTCTGCCAAAGAAGGCAGTTCCAGTTACTGAAGCCAGGGTGTACCTACTTTGTTAACAGACAAAACTGACGTCTCAGTTTAAATAAATCAAATTTTCATTGTTTTTCATTCTATTACAGAACATTTATCTGTACATACTGTTTAACACTGTATGTGAAAGTGTGAAACCTATCCAGGTGTTATAGAGCTGTCTATTTTTTATGGTGTTACAGTGTGAAGTTGTCTGGCTGCTAGATGTACTGGGCTTTAAAGACATATTATCACTGGCCTAAGAGTGCATAGACTCTTTTGACAGCATTACAGTCACATGTCAGTATTAGAGTGAGGTCTATGATAAGTGCTGGCGGGAGTAAAGTGGATGTAAATGTAAATTATTATGTAATTAATGATGTAGTTAATTGCCATTATGTAATCAGATATGAATAATCATACAATGCATTTTGATTGTATAGCAAAACAACAGTAACAGCTCTAGGCCTCTAAGGGTTAATACCCAAAAAAGGGTTAATATGCAAAAGTTTTAAAACCTCTGGTCAAATGACATGCTTTGTTGATTTTCTGAGTGAAAATAAGTTAACACATCCTCTACAGAGAGCACACTTCTGCACATTTTAATGCACAGTTTTTTTGCTGAATTACACATATGGAAAAAAAATTACATGTACACTGTGGTCTGTGCAAAAGTTCCAGAACATTTTATATTTTGTTTTATTTTTCTCAATATGTTAAACTCTAAAATGCCTTATTGAAGAGTTTGTTCCCTGTAAAGGATATGTTAACTTATTTTGACTTAGAATATCAACAAAATGTATAATTATACAAATAATTGTATAAACAAGGGACTGTTTCCCTATGCAGTGCAGGTGGTCTGTGGGTCTGTGCAGCTATTTCTGGTGCCAACAGGGCTCAAGAGGATAATTAAACAAAAAAAAGTCTTAACTTGACTTTTAACTAACTGATACTTTACACACACACACACACACACACACACACACACACACTCACTCACTCACTCACTCACTCACTCACACACATGTGCTTCTCTTTTAGCAACTCAAGGGGAGATCAGAATAACCCCTCTGATTTATTATAGGTATCACTGCCTGTATATCTAAATAAAGTTATATTTACCCCACCTGTACACATTGACTCACTCACACCGAGTGACTCCCTGACCACACCATTTTCTGTTTTTGTGGAAGAGGAGGAGAAATGTAATATCTAAAATTTAGAAAGAACCATTTTGAACTCTTTTTTTTGTATTCATTTCAACTGTAGAGCAGAGATACCTATCCATTCTATCTCTTTGTGAGAACAAATATCTTCTTTTGCTTACATTTCTATCTGTATCATCTTAAATATCACTGACCTCCTTTTAAATAGAATGGAAATGAGATGGTTGCACTGTAACCAAGGAACATTCTGACTTTGTGCCTTTTCTCCTCTTGTCTACAGTACATATTTCTGTAGTCCTCTTACTGTTTTCTCTCCTGTTCTCTCTCTTTCAGAACATGGCGCCGTCTCTCTCGCAGGCCTTTAGGAGGCGCTGGTGGATGGCAGTGACGGCGGTGATAGAGAACCTGCTCTTCTCCGCTGTGTTGCTGGGCTGGGGCTCACTTCTCATCATGCTAAAGAACGAGGGCTTCTACTCACACCTGTGCACAGGTACACCATCATGAAGCACCAGCGCAGGCCTTGGCCTGTTTACTGATTTACAGTAGCCAATCAGAACCTCAGCTCATACTCCTACACAAAACACACTCAGTCATCTGCTATAAAATCTGCAGTGGTAAATATCACTATCAAAAGCAAACCTTTTTTTCTGCCATTTCCGTTTTGTAAACATCTCACGGCAAATGCAAGTATTTGACCTTTTTGCGTTAACATAAAATTAAAGCATTAACATAGCATAGAACCCCAAATGTAGATGGTCAGCCAAGACATGTTTAGTGTCGCGGTTCCAGGCGTGATTTTGTAATGAGAATACAAGCCTGAGGACAACTCATTAAACTTTTAGTGCTGGGCTGGGATGCTAACAAGGATACGCCCCTTCTAACCTCCAAATTCCTCTAGTTCATGCTCCTTTAATGTCCAGAGTGCAACTGATAACACTAGCAAAATGAGCTAGCTGAACGCTGACATTAGCTCACTGAACTGTTTTTCCCTTGCAAGAAGTTTCCAAAAATGTGAACTTACTTTATGTCCATTGGCTAACAACAGACTTTTTTTCCCTCTGACAGTACGTGCCCCCTCCTTTGAACTTTGCCTTCATGGGGTGTTGAACTGGTTTAGAAATTTCTCCCTTTTTTTCCCACCCTAATAAGTCTACATTCCCACCCACATTTAGCCCAAAGTTTCTCATGGTTGTTCCCAGACATTGTCGTTACAGGATTACCTCTGGTCCTGCAAGACTAAGGCATGTTTGAATGAATCTTACTAGTTTTGCACTGGAGCTATGAGGCCAATGTAACAAACAAATCATGTAGGCTTATATACACTCTTTTTAGCATTGTGCAAACTGCAGACCTAAATTAACACTTGGAAATTGCACTATTTTTTTTAAATGTTACATAATTCAAACTTTTAGATGTAAACAGTCATTTAGAGAGGGAATGTGAAATGTAGAGAAACTGACTGACTCTCATTTTGTTACAATGATGGTGAAAGGAACCAGGAGTCACAATGTCTATAACGCAAACATAGCCATTTTACTTCACTTTTAAATGACAAATGAACTTACACGAGTTTTTATACATAATGTTCATCATTAAATCTGAAATTCTTTGGGTTTTTTGCCTTATAACGCCTTGCATGTATTTTAAAGGTCAAAAACTTATTGCAAAACTACCATCTCTGGCAGCAAATTCAGTGAATCCCAAACCTTTTATATAATAATGTTCAGTGGAGTGTTAAATACTTTTGATATCTAGTCCCTATTATATCTTAATGACTGTATAATACAGAAATTATGAAAAAATCTTTTTTAAAGTTATCTCAGATAGATTGTGATTTCTGACAAAGGTCAGGCTTAAAGATAGCTGCTTCGACTGTTTTTGCTATGCAACATGCTGTTATTCATTAAGACGTTAAACATTATGCTTATCATGCCAACAGATGTTGAGGGTTTTATAATTAGTCGTCTTTGTCTGATAGAAAATGGAACAGAACATCATGCTAACAGAAGCTCTGAGGAAAGTTCAGAGTGGCTGAGCTGTGTGGAGCAGGAGGAGATTCTAAACCTCGGCTTTACAATCGGCTCTTTCATCATCAGCGGGGCCACTCTGCCGCTGGGAATCCTGATGGACAAGTACGGGCCACGCCCACTCCGACTGCTAGGCAGGTATGAGATGTATTACAGCGTAAATCTTATTCTTTTAAGTATTCTTACTAAAACTGAACAAGGCTGTTAAAGTTATGGTTAAATCATCAGTCACATCTAAGGGTGTAACCATTTCAAAACTTTTGAAAATTCTGAAAAATTAACATTAAAAACAATATTTTGAAATCTGTAAATACTGTATAGTCAGTACTCCACTTGGACTCTTCAGAGGGTCTCTCATTTACTTGCTTTCATGGAAAACATTGTCACTGATCAACATCAGGCATCTGGGTGCATCCTATCAGAGTAAAGTGGGTGGAGCGTATACTCTGTGCTTATGCTCAAATGGATTGTTTTTAAGTCACCTTTAAATTCTTGGGGTCTTTATTTTTGGGGATTAAACTGGAAACTCGGAATACAAAATTAATTTGAATCTGAAAATATTGTTGCATCTCTAGTCACTTTTAACACGTCAACGTTTAACCACTTCCTTTCCACCATCCAATCTCTATCAGTTCCTGCTTCACCTTCTCCATGATTCTAATTGCTGTGGCATCATACGATCCTCCAGGTCAGTGTATGCAAATGTATGTGTGCGTTTCTGTGCATGTACACAGCATTTCTGCTATATGACACAGCAGTTAACACAGCTTGCCTTACTTATAGTACTGTGAGACCACCGTTGATTTAATTTGTTTACAGTCAAATTTGTTAACACCTTTCATGGCCAGGGCCCACCGGCAGGCCCAAAGTTTTATTACACACCCTATAACCTAAGAATAGCTCAACCAGTTTGCATTGAAGTCCCTGTAGTTACTGAATGATAAGCCATAGTATGAAATTAGTCTGGAATGAGTTATTCATTTTTCAGGAGAGATTTCTCAGGATATTAGATATAAGATGATTCGCTTGCATAACAAAGGGGAAAGTCAAAGGAAAATAAGTGAAAAAAACAGGAGTTTCCAAAGCTCAAAACATTATTAAAAGACTTCTAACAACTGTGCAAGACCTGGTAGACCACCAACGCTATTCCTATCAGATAAACAAAAAGCTTTCATTTTTGAGAGAGAGGAGAAAATTAAGCTCCACTCCTTCGTCAGATCTGAAAAAATCCACAGGTGTGTCTGTCCATCCTTCCACTGTGAGAAGTGCCACCCCAGTTCTGTAGCCACTAAAATAGGATACAAAACTATATTGAGCACAATGTGTCTATACTCCCAAACGTGTATAAAACTAAATCTATTATCTAAGTGTTGTGCTTTTCATTCACATGACGAGCCAATCAGATGCAAGAAATCAAGACACACCTCTGTGTGTGTACCAGATGCTTTCCAGCTCTGAACACTCTGGCTCTAAATAACTCAGCATCACATAGCAGTCATTTGAGGAGAGAGTGAGTGGAGATGGAAACAGTAGCCCTTCTGTGAATGTTTCACCTGAACAATAGTGAGTAATTAATGTATCAGTGTCACAACACTGCTACATACACAAAAGTAGTTAAGCAACAAATGCACACACAAGAGTGAAGTGTGTCATTAGCTCTAGCTACCTTGTCAGCAAGCAAGTTAAATGACACTACTAACTACACTAGAGTTGCATTCTTTTGTCAGTTAGCATTCAGTTGTTCTAAACTACAGTTGAATTCATCTCAAGACTTTCTCAGGCCTTTAATCACTGCTTAGCAACAGTTGCTATCAAATATTTTTTTTACCTATTTTCAAAGCCATAATTGACAAAATGTCAGCTTGTGTTAAAGTTGTTGTGTCTTTGGTCAAATGGAGTACTAGCAGTGATTTTTAACTACAGAAGCTAAAATAGCTATGTCAGCATATCACAGGAAATGTCTGCTTCCATGCATAAAGTCATCAAAGGTAAGAGATGAATGGTCCATGGACATTTATTTGTGCTCGCCATGGAAATCATCATGGGTCTTACACAATAAAACAACAATAAAGAAACAAAAATCTAGTTTCTGACTGGTGCTATAACAACTTTACTGGTCAGGGCAGGGTAATGTTTGTTTATTTGATGTTTGTTAATAACACATTTAGATGGCAGCAGTAAGTAATTTATCTATAATTGAGCTTGCGCTGTTTCTGTCTTCATTTGAGAGCCACCAAGTATTGATAGCTGCAAAACAAGATGGCTAATGAGTCAATGTGACCACTTTAGGCTTGTACTTTAATAGTGGCATACACTGAACAAAAAGGAAAATTACATCATAGTTATTCACATGGCAATTAACTGTCAGCTAAAATTTCATGATCTTGACAGGCCTACCTGACACTGAAAAATTAATAACTTGAATTTAATGGCTGTTTTGACTGGAAATGAAATTGATTAAGGGTGGTCTCTGACTTTTGCACAGTAGTGTGTATATTTTGCAAAGCAAAAATAATTCATTTTAAAAAGACTCTTTTAAAAGTAAACAAAACTTCCTTCCCTTTACCTCAGTATTATCAGCCCTCATCTTCGTTGCTGTCTCCTTTAATGGCTTTGGAGGAATATGCCTGACCTTCACTTCACTGACGGTATGATAAACACACACACACACACACACACACACACACATACACACAAACACATATAGCATAAAGTATTAACACTAAGAATGTGTGCAATACATGTTGTGTACTTACATAAATAAACACCCAAACCCTGAATATCTGCCACTGTAATAGCCTGTAGTGTTATATACTTCAGAGTTAATAACATTTATATTTCAGGAAAGTCATTTATATGGTGTCAAGAGAGAATCCACTTCTGTAACAAAGGCTGCAGTGCAAACTTCAGTCTTTCTTCCCTGCTCAGACTTCCTCTGCTTACTGCTGCCATCCACATAACAGCTGTAAGCTTTCACAGTAAAATTCAGGCAAAACGCCAGAAATGGAACGAGAATACGACTATGAGATGGAAAAAAAAACCCTTGGAAAATATGCCATGATGCCACAATCACGAGTCTCATTGACACACAGTAAATCACCTGTGAAAATGACATAAATGATGTTATATATGGAAAGCGCATGAAAACATCTGGAAAGTGTATGTTTAGTACAGTGTGCTTTAGTTGTGTGAGGCCCCGTTTCTGTGAGAATTTCTATCATTTTGTAAATGTTGCTGGTTAAGCTGAGTTGTGAGTGGGAGCGTCTGTGTGTGTGTATTTGTGTAGATCACTTTAGGAAGGCACATGTTGTTCCACGTCCAGACTCTGAATGTTGGCTTGATGCTTTCAGCCAATCGGAAAGCTGGGCTGCCCTCACGCCCTTACCTCAGCCATTCGCAGACACCCCGATCACACACACTCCTCTCTGTCTCTCTCTCTCTCAGTAGCAGTTGCAAACAGTAAAAAGCAAATATGAATGATAAATATGCTAAACACTTGATGTAATCGTTAACGTTTGGTTAGTCAGATCAAATGAAACAGTATACAAAATAACAGATCTGCGGTCAGTGAGATACAGATTAAAATATTCCTCCATTTATTCCCTTTTGCCTCCTCCCATGCATATCATTTATCATTCCTCATTCTTGCTCTCTCTGACTCTGTGCCAGACTGTCTGTGTAGCATGTGGTACAGAGCCAGTGTTTGTGTGCACATGTGTGTGTGTGCGTGTGTGTGTGTGTGTGTGTGTGTGTGTGCACTGCTGACGCTTCGGGTTTGCAGTATTTTCAGAGATGGCAGCCAGTGCTGTTCATGGATGTACTCATGTCCCAAGCTGAACTTTGATAAAGAGCAGAGTCGCGTAAAGGGAAAGAATCTCAAATGTTCTGAGTGTGTGTGTGTGTGTGCGCACAAATACTTGCCCCTATTTGGATGTATGTCAAAGAAAGAAAGATAAAGAAAGAAAGAAAGAAAGAAAGAAAGAAAAATAAATAAATAAATAAATAAATAAATAAAGGAAGGAAGTAAGAAAGAAAGAAAGAAGGAAAGACAGGAAAGATGGCAGAAAGAAAGTAAAAAATTAAGAAAGTAAGAAAGAAAATGAAATACATGAAGAAGAATGAAGCAAGCAAGAAAGAAAGAATGAAAGAACAAAGGGCAAAGAAAAAAAAGCTGACAGTGAATGGAAACAGACTGAGAGTGAAGGAGAAGAGTGTGACAGACACTGTGTTTCAGCACATGCACATTCACGTGTGGAATCCCGACTAAAAAAAACTCCCTACTTGACTGACTGTACCACAGAGCACACTGCGTATATCCTCATCTCACTCTCACATCTCACATTCCCTCTTTCTGGAAAACAGGCGCTCCTGATCATTCTATCAGACCTGCAGAAAATCTTCTTCATGTTAGGCTTCATGAGCAGTTAAGAATTTCTACAGAGTTGGAAATGCGTGGAAAGAGCTGCGCTGGATATGTTTCTCATTATGTCTCTAAAACATAAACATACAAAGATAAATCAGTGAAGACCAGACGGTGTAGTGGATTTCTGATTTTGCAAGAAACCTAAAAAGGGAGGGAGGGAGGGAGGGAGAGAGAGATTTTATCATGAGTAGTGGTGAGGCTTTAAGCTGCATGTCTGAGTTACTCACAGCTGTTCTGTTAGGTATTGCTCTCGTTCAGGCCTTTTCAACAGCGGGGTTGCTGTGAGCGCCCTCAACTGGCCACAGACGCACAGTACATATGTAAAACAGAAAACTTTGAAAAGTGCAGAAAACAATTACAGGACCACAGTTTTCAAAACGTTTGTTGTGCCAGACCATTTCTTCTCTACTCTGAGCTCTATAACATCCTTGCCTTTTTATTCTCAGCTTCCCAACATGTTCGGAAATGTGCGCGCCACCATCCTTTCACTCATGATCGGCTCCTATGCTTCGTCTGCAGTTACCTTCCCAGGAGTTAAGGTAGGACAAAAAAAAAAAACCAGCTAAAAAAGCAAGCCTAATGAAAGACTTTTTTTGACATTGATTCTAGAGAATTTAATCATTTGTTTTATTTTGATTTTAAAGATTTATAGCTAGTGGGTCAAAAATTGATAGGTTTGGCTTTGAACGGTTAGTTAGGAATCCACAGTCCCAAGAAGCCCCTGACTGATTCTGTCTGTGTTCCTTTGTTGTTACACAAGCATACATTCATTCATTTCACTGGGATGAATGAGGTTTATTAGACAGTCAGTCTGTCTGTGTATCTATCTATACATATGTCTGTGTATCTATCTGTCTAGCTGTCTATCTATCTACCTACCTACCTACCTGGGATGATTAACCATCAATGGAATCTTACTAATACTAGTACCACAATGTGGACAAAGCCATTCCAATACAGGCTTTGCAATAATTTGAAGTTTTGATAAACTGAAGTTCTCTACAGTTGCAGACACAACAACAACCTGAAGAACTGTAAAAAGAACGTCATTTTATCTGTTTTTCTCCCTAGCTAATTTACGATGCAGGTGTGTCCTTCCATGTGATATTCTGGGCGTGGGCAGGTTTGGCCTGCCTCGTCTTCCTTAACTGCTTTGTTAACTGGCCAGTGGAACCCTTCCCTGACCCTGAGGAGATCAGCTATATGTTAGTATTGTTTTCTGTGCATTTTCTTAGTAATAAATACAACATGCATCTGTAATGATAATAGAAGAATTTAAAGGTCAAAGTAAAATGTTCTTTAGAAAACACGTATCTGAACAACAGTGTCAAGTGAAAGCTACAAATGGTACATGCTGTATACTAATGTACATTCATCTATGTGTAAGGTCCACAGTATTTGATATCCAGCCTTTTCTGAACAGTCCTTTTCCTCTCTCGCTGTCTTTCTCTGACAGTAAAAAAGTGAAGCTGAGAGGTGAAGTAACGGACGATAAGGTTACAGGAGATCGCTGCTACAGTCATGTGACCACTGAAGGGCAAGAAATCTCTAAAAAAGAGCTTTCTGATGAACATATACACAGCAATGGTGCAGCCATACAGAGCCAGGGTGGGCATTACATACATACATGCATGCAAAATTAACAATCATACAGTTATTCCACAATATACATTTGCTGTACTTTTTTGACACGTAGACAGTGCAAACATTCTTATTCTCCTACTCCAAGACCATTTGAATGTCATTTAATATGTAAATGTAAACATTTTTTTTTCCTCTTTATATGTCTGCTCAGGTTCACCTCCGTTCCGCCGCTCTGTGTGTTCACCGATCTTCTTATGGAGTTTGATCACCATGGCGATGACTCAGCTCCGCATTATCTTCTATATGGGAGCCATGAACAAGATGCTGGAGTTTTTGGTAACTCACGGCAACCCCAACCGTAAGGGTTCCACTCATACTACAGATTCATAAGATTGGTTTATGAAGGAGATGCTGAAACCGATATTACTTATTCTTAAATTTTACTCTTTGAATCCCAAGGCAAACCTGGTGCTGGATAACTTTGTTACACAGGCTTTCCATCGTACACTGGAGGGCTTTTATTTTTTTTATATATATATTTTTTTTTTTGGGATACATTTTTTACATTTACTCGTTACGTCCCACAGTGTCTTGACATCAGGCTGTAGCTGATTGCTGATGGGAGTGCAGTTATCACCCTACCTAATCCAAAGCTACAATAACAAGACTATGTAGACATCAACAAGAGTGCAAGCTTCATATAAACCCAGCCAACACCCTTCCCTGTAAAGCATGCGTCTGATCCTGACAGGCACGACTTATACTCCATTGAAGACCACACAACTTAAACCAGAGAGCTGAACTTACAGAACAAATTTGTGTCAAACACTAGCAACTTAAAAACGTAAACTGTCAAGCATCCTAGGCTAAAGCATACCAGCACAGTGGGCATGAAAAATGTTAACAGACCATTTATATCTTGATGACTTGTTGTGCAAAAGCACACAATTGTTTTGACAAACCCAGTTTAAAGCTATTTCAGTAAAAGATCACTTTAAGTAACAAATTCACTGTCTACCGAAGACAAGGACAATAAAGACAATGATGCTACAACTAACACAAGCTGCCTTTTTTTTTTTTTGAGTTTGGCTTTGGAAATGGGTAGAAAAGACACTTTGTCCTCTGTCAGGCTTCTCGCTTTCACAGCACTCTCAGGTACAAATCCAGAGCCTCAAATTCAAAGTATATCCACAGAAACACTGCGTACTTCTATAGTACCAAAAGCTTGACCGAGGTAATGGCTGATAGTATTGGTTGCAGTATCAGAGCAGTGATTAGATGACTAAGAAAATATAGTAGGCCTTGAGTTGGACTGCCTCGCACTTTCAGAAATGATGCAGAGAATGTCATGACTTTGATTACCAACAAGTTGTGTTTATATAATTTAGGCCTGCCCAGCAGGCCTGGTAGGGGGCTCGGGGTTTGAAGACACTCTGCCTGTCCCAAGGCAGGGCAAAAAATGAATCCCAAGGAAAGTCTTGTGTTATGGTACATAGACTAAGCAAGAGCAGAAATGTTGTCATTAAATGGACATTGATCCAGGATTCATAATATATCATAGATGTGCAGTAATAAATAAGATTCGTAATATTGCTCAAGTTTAAATTGCACACAAAGCTAAAGCTAAAACTAAAGCAAATTAGCCAGCATTTTTTCAACCTGAGATCATGGAATAACCCTGCTCTGTATCTTTTGTTGCATCACCTGCTCTAACATACCTGATCCAGCTAATCAGCTCATTAAGAAGCCCTTTCTAAATCAATGCGGGTGTGTACAATAGCACTGAAATGTACAGGACGGGTACTCCACAACCAGGACTGGAAACCGCTGGTTTAGACTGCAGTAGACAAAACAGACAGGCTGATATGTGTGTTTGCATGCATGTTTATGCATTCTTTAATCTGATGTGATCTCTCTTGCTGTTCCAGCTCCAGAAGAGTTGGTCAAAGAGGCAGAAGAACAAGGTAAGAAGAATCTCAGAATGGAATCTTAGCATTTTATACACCATTTGATAATGCCAGGTGCCCAATATTGTGTGAACATTTCATGATGATTGGACCAATGAGAATGGGACAAAAATACATGGAATAAAATCTTGTTACATTAACTTACATTATAATAAAGAAAAATATTTTCTTCTCCTTTAAAGTAACCATTTTGGAGATGCGAAGTTTCCTTATGGATGCAAAAATATGCATTTCAAATGTTTGATTTTTTTTACGCATATTGGTTTTTATGACCGATGTAATAGTGAATTATGATTTTATAGTTCTGCATGTCTGATGTGAGTGTGTATGTGTGTCCCCAGTCAGTTTCTATTCGTCCATCTTCGGCACTCTGCAGCTGCTGTGTCTGGTGACCTGCCCTCTCATTGGCTACATCATGGACTGGGGAATGAAAGAGTGTGAGGAGGAGAAGAGCGTAGTGGATGGAGAGAAAAGGTGGCAAGAGACAGAGTTAAATTATAGTTATAGAGTTAAATACTGAATTAAATGAACATTTATTTTTCCTTAGCCCACCAGAACTAACCTTTCTAAAATCTACATTAGGCCCCCCAAGAGAGACAGAAAGATCCAGAAACTCACTAATGCAATCAGAGCCTTTATCTTCACCAACCTACTGCTGGTTGGGTTTGGCATCATCTCTCTAATAGACAACTTGCCTCTACAGGTGATAAACACATTTATGTTTCCACATTGTGGCTGTTACAAGCCATTCGTTTTGATGTACAAAGCATAAACATGTAACAGCTCTTATTAGAATGTTACATATACATTTTCATAAGCATTCAAACTTTCTACACAGCATCACAACTGTTGCTCTTCATTGCACTCTCTCCATGTCGTAGGTGTTGTCCTTCATTCTTCACACCATGGTAAGAGGTTTTATTCACTCTTGCTGTGGAGGACTCTATGCTGCTGTGTGAGTATTTTATCTATATCAGAGTGTCTCTGCATTAAAATGTTATTAAATGTACTGAATCCTGCTAAATTTCACAAAATGTTTCAAAGCGTGATGAAGATTTTTCCTTTGCCATTCCTTCCCCTGCTTTAAGGCTGTACAATATTATTAGTGGCTGATTAATATAATAATACTGGCTGTATTGACATTGCAGGAAGCTGTATTAGGCAAACAGATACTTAAAATCAATGCACCTCGTTTTCTATCCATATTGTGACGTATTTACGAGTGTCCCACTACATCAGGGAGGGTCTTTTAACTAGCTGAGCATTTTCTCTCAATGATACGTGGGGGCGGTAGGAGGAGGGGTGTAACATATTGTTAGTTGATATTACTTTTTCCTGCAAGCTGGTGTCCAGTGATGTAATCAAACTTCAGAGGTTTTAGAGGCAGGGAAAAGGCTTTCCAGTACAATCAGATATTACCAGGAAAACTGTGCTGAGCATCCTGACCAACCTCACTTTCCAGATGAGTGTTTCTGTGGGTTTTTTAATCCGTCAAGATTATGATTCAACAAAATATCTTTAGACAGAATTAGCCAGGACATGACACATCAAGGGTTCACCTGTGTGTTTTTAATATATTGCAAGGCATATCACAGTTTCCGTGTGTAGCAGTATAATTGCAATGTGGTATTTTGTCTATATCATGTAGTCTTAACATGCCTTTTACATGTTCTAACACTACTGATTCAGCTCACATATTATATTATTGATATTTTGCTAATAACTTGGAAAACAGTGCACTATAGCTTCAGGGTTGAATGTGCTCTGGTCAGGACCAGAAAAGCTGCTTTAGGACAGGGATGCACAGCTCAGGTCTCTCCAAGCTGCATACATTTGTTTTTATAATGCTCAGCTATGAATTATGGGCTGAGGACAAATGCTTCAGTGTTCTCCAGGACTGAAGTCACATTATGTGCAGTTTCTGTCTTTAACTGCCTGATCTGTATCAATCGGTCAATTACTTTAAGCCGGGGCTGCTCAAAGTGTGGTCCGATTTGGCCTGCCAGAAAGTTACCCCAACCCCACCCCCTCACCCTATGAGAGAACAAACATATTCTTAAACTATACATAACTTACTAACAGGGTTGGGATGCAAGTATTAGGAATATGCATTCAAAATACAGAAATAAAGTATCTGTATTTAGTCCAAGTTACATTCTGTAAAGGCAGTATTCAGAATACAGCTACTTTTTACATTTTTAGGAGAATACTTTTAGAATACTTACTATACAAACGCTAAAGAGGACCTCAATTAATGGCTTCTTTACAAACACGGAAGTTCCTTCTAAAGCCTGAGTAGACTGATAAATCAGTGATGATCAGTTATTAAGTAATTAATGTTAAGTTGAGCAAAAAAAGTGAATGTTAAGCAAATTTTTCATATTAACAGAAGAGTTACTGGAAGAAAACTACCAACCGGTAACAGCTCAGCTCAACAACTCAATTTGCACCCTCCCTACTTTCTTCATTTGTATACTGTTTGGTCTTTTTGGCCCTCAGTCCATCACAAAGATTCCACTTTGGCTTCCTGTAGATAAAATATTTGGGCACTCCTGCTACAAACAGTAATTTCGATGTGCTTCTTTGTATACAAAAAACTCGCTGACTCGACAGTCTGTCATGATAAAAGCCACTGGGAAGTTGCTTAATGCCATGGATAAATGTTTGAAATATGTAATCACATAATATGAATTTGAAACCACAACACTTACTCTAAGGACAGGTCTCAAGATGAGATGGACCAAAGCTGTGTGGATAATCAGTTATTAAAGACCTGCAAGATAATGCTTTCCTTTTTGGTGTTCAGGTATCCATCTAACCACTTTGGCACTCTGACGGGCCTGCAGTCTTTAGTGAGCGCTCTGTTTGCCCTGCTCCAACAACCACTCTTCGTCTGCATGCTGGGTCCACTCAAGGGAGACCCTTACTGGGTGAGATGCACAGATACACACATACACACATGCACATACAGTCTAACTGGGGAATTCCACTCCATTTTACAAAATGTGTGCATAATTCAGGCTCCTGTTTCAAAAGTATGTCTTAACAACAGCATTTTTCTTCTACCACTAGATCACCATTTAAGCCTCCTCATTAATCAAATCAACCCCGCCCACGCTTTCTGTAGAGTAGCTTCGACTACAGGGCCCTCTTGTGGTTATGAGTGACATCGCTACTTTACTTCTATAGAAAGATGCTGAGCGAGAAGGCCTTCTTTAAGATTATTACTTCTCAGGCTGGGGGTCGCGGGATAATTGTGGAAGCATTGTACAAATGCTAAAATTTTGGCTAATATCTTATTAGTAACTTTTTTTCTATAAAATGTACTGGTGGTAACACATTATCATCATCATTGACTGACTGTGTGAAAGTGCACATGCACACTGAGGATAAGTCCACCAATTTTTCAAAATTTCTGTATAATTCAGTCTTTGAGATATAAAGTCATTTAGAAAGGTTTGATGTGAAATGGTACATTGTAGTAAAACTTAATTAAAAAAAAAAAGTAAGACTTAATTAATTTACAGTGATGATGAAAAGGAACCAGGGGTCATGAGGTCTACAATGCAAATGTAGCCATTTTATTTACTATACAAAATGTTCAGTGAGCTTATATAATTAATAGTAATAAGCAATATTGATAATGGTAAAATAGTCATAAAACTGGTTCTTATCCTCTTCACTGTGAACAGTTTTGGTCAGTTTGGTCACTTGGTCAGTTTCTCTACAAATGAGCATTTCACATCAGATCACTCTGAATGACTTTGTTTAAACTGTAACGATTTAATTATGTGAAAAATTTCAAAAGTAGGTGGAATTTCTCTTTGAATACATTTTGAAAAAAAGTCTTTTGTTTATCAAACGTCATTTTCTCTTCAATCAACAGATCAACCTTGGGCTGCTTCTCTTCTCATTGCTGGGATTGCTGTTGCCTGGTTATCTGTTTTACCACTGCAGACAGCTCATTAAAGAGAAGGAGGTGCGGGACAAGGCAGCAAATGCACAATTAGCACAGGAGATGGTCACCATCAACCAACCTTCAAATGGTGCTGCGAAGCACCTTTGCAATGGACTTGATCCAGACGAGGTTTAACAAAAAGAATAACATTGAAAATTGTGACGAAGTGAAAAAATGTGGTGGTGGTCTTCTTTTACTTTAGATGGAAAAAGAACACCTGGATTCCCTCTTTTCTCAAACCAAAGCCTAAACCAAAACAAAAAAGTATTAATGCATGTTTTCCAGCTGAACAAAAGCTTTTTTGCTAAATCTTTACAGAACCCTTCGAATCCTGCCCTTCACTGGGACCAAACAAGGTCCAAATAACAAAAAGTCAGCTTTGCTGCTGATAAGATGCAAAATTGCACTGTTTGTGAAATGAATTAGAAAAATAATATGCATGCTCCTTTTAGGTCTCATGACCGCCAGCAGGACAATATTTATTTCATAGCGTTGACTGGCTGATATTATGAGCTACCTCCTCCAGTCAAGTCTCTCTACAGTTAAACCATTTCAGCCAATCAGCGGTCTGTTAGCACCAGGTGTATGTGTGTATTTTATAGTGCATTTTTAATACATGTTCAGGTCGGTGCTTCAGAATGTATTGATTGTTTTTTCACGTGTGCATGGGGCCTTTTCTTCAGTCATTCTTGTGTGGATCATTATTTGGCTGTGTGCAGGCACTGTCTAGTCTGTCACTAAATCACCATACAAGAATTATGTTTATGTTTTTAGAAATATAAAACATTTATTCAAGAAGTGTTGTGCTGTCCTAGGACTTATAGATCATTAATTACTGTGAAAGCAACAGGAGCAGGCACTTTTAAGCTTTGAGCTTTTTCATTGGGAATATTATTGAGAAGGATGCTCGCCATGGTCTACGGCCCAATCCCATTTCACCCCTTGCCCCTACCACTCAGCCCTTAGCCCTGTTTTGTGCGTTCAGGTCTAGGGTTAGGGTGTCCCGATTTAGTTGAGATGGAGAGGGTATGGCGACGTGTTCGGGCTACATGGCCCTCCAAATGGAGGTTTTTCAGAGGCACTCCAAACGGAGTGTTATGAGAAAAAAAGACAAACCGGTAAGATGGCTGCGGGAGCGACTAAAGAAACCCACAAATGTGAGAATTTTCTCCGTTAAAATTACGATAACCATTGTATTTTCTTAGTTAATGGCGTTTCAATGAATTATGGTCGTTTTCTTCGTAACAAGTATAAAAAATCGCTAATAGCATGCTAATGTCTCGGTAGCTAGCTAGCTAACTTTCCCGTTCCATCTTAAATAGTCCAGCAGTTCCGACGCCTGAAGCGCCAGAATGTAACTGCTGCACCATTTAAGGTGGAACGGGAAAATTCGAGCGAGAAGCCCCCAGTAGAAGCTGACTTCAGTTTCGTATCACCAAAGAATTAGCGGTGGGCGATAATAAATAATTGTCTTTTACCCCCTCTTTGAAAGCATATGATGCCCTTAAATGTAACTAAAGCCCAGCGGCGAGGTCGCTGAACTTTGCCCTTCTCTGTAATCATTGAAGTCGGGCCGGGTCGCCTACTGAGCAGCGCTAGTAGCCTTAATGGAGCAGTGTTTTTGTTCTATTTCGTGGGGCAAAATTTCAACCACTACCCTCTGTAACTCAGTTCGAAGGGGTTAGGGTGACACTCAAAAACAAGGGGCAGGGGTAAAAAGAAGAAATGGTATTGGGCCTACATCTTGATATCAGAAGAACTACAATCATAAGCCATTAAACGTGCAATATGTTCATTTAATGTACTATGTGCATTTAAAACATTTGCTCTACATTATTTAATGAATATTTCATGACTGTTATATAAAATAATCTTTTATTTAAATCTGTTATTAAAATAACCTTTTTTTTTACACTGACCAAGTGGCAAACATTTTGACATTGACATACATCTATGGTGGTAAAGGCAATTTCTAATTGCACTCTGAATTTACTAATGTTCTCATTACTTTGCACTCGAAATACATAACTACAGTTTCACGTTAGAGCTCTAAATACCAAAACCTGTACTGACCGTATTGTGCGACCACTCTAATTCAAAAGCAGAGCTGTGGAATCTGTCCTGTGACATGTAGAGAATAGTATACATATTTACTCTTATATATTAAGATAAAACCTGTATACTTCCATCATAAAGTGTGATGGGGAAGCGCACTTCTGCTATCAGGGATTTATTTTACCATCTTTGATATGCAAATTTGAACATACAAAGTTCCAGGTTGTCCTTTTTTTTAATACATGCTAACATCAGCTAAGTGATTCCCCCATACATTCACTTCTATCTTCATGTTTTTTGACATGACATTTAATGTTCAATACTGCCTGGACCTTGGATAGCAAGGTTATAGAAAAATAAACATAATACAGGAAAGGTAAACCAGGTAAATATACTCTAGGTACTTTCTTTTCTTTCAAAAGGCTGTTCACTGTGCTGTATGTATTGTTTATGCACCCATCAGTTTTGCTCTTTCTTTAATCAAAAGTGCCTTAACGTTGGGAAGAAACACAGATAATCTAACACAGTGTGCAGATTTTTTTCTGTTCTTAACTTTTTTTGTATGTTGATTTATAAATGCTTTGGTGCTTCTTTTCGCTCTGCTGTGTGCTTGTCTTTATAAAGATGTTTTAAGATGTAGAAAAAAATAAAGTGAAAATATGAGTCACAAGTCAAAACATTTATCAAGTTTTTTTAATAACGTCATAAAGATATCAAGGTGTACTTGATTGAGTCTTCATAAGATAAATAAAAAACAGAGGCACTTGAATGATTATGAACAGGTGTAACAGACATGGTTCGCTGCCGATTCTCTTTCAGGTGTTTCATACTGACGCATATAGCGTGCACACACACACACACACACACACACACAGACAGAAACATTTGAGTAAAAACACACCATTCTCCCTTCACTCACACATTTAAAACCACTTTTGTTTCAATGCTATTTACAATGAATTGTCTCTCTCTCTCACACACACACACACACACACTCTCTCTCTCCTATCTCAGACTGCTGCTGCTGGGCTGAGAGCCGGTCATGCCCGGGTGGTCAGGGCTATGGCGGTTCTGAGGATAAAGCGAAAACAGCGAAACATTACCATATACTTAAGACATAATATCGAACACCTGGCCGGAATGCATTGATTTGGATAAATACTAATATTACAGCAAAAAATAAACATTAATTAATAGTCATCGTTCACAAGTTTGGAATCATTGTTTTCAATAACATAAAACGAATTTGCTAAAGGTAAATGTATACAATGATTCTACAAGTCCAATTCCAAAAAAGTTGTGACAGTATATAAAATGCTAATAAAAACAGAAAACAGTGATTAGTAAATTCTGTTTGACTTGACTTCAATTGAAAACAGTACAAAAACTTCATATTTGATGTTTTACCCTATTTTACCCTATGTAAGCTTCTGTTTTTCTGTAATTATACACTCACTCCAAATTTGAAGCCTGCAATACGTTCCAAAAAAGCTGGGATTGGAGAATGTTTACCGCTGTGTTATCACCTTCCCTTTTAACGGCACTTGATAATCAACTGGAGACTAAAAAAACACCAATTTAACCAGGTTTGAAAGAAGTTTTTTTTGCTATTCTTCAGTTATACAAGTCTTCAACTGTGTAACTGCATTGGGCCTTCCCTGTACACTTTATAATGAGAAACAATAGGAGACAGGCAGGCCAGTCTAGCTCCTGCACTCTGATTACTTAGTCATGCTGTTGTAACACATGCAGTTTCTTGGTGTTGTCATATTAAAATAAACATGGACATCCCTGAAAAGGACAGCCTCTAAAAGGCAGCATATGTTGCTCCGTTAATGGTGATTTCACAGATGTGCAAGTTACCCACTAATACCCCCTCTGCCATACCATAACAGACCCTGACTTCAGAACTTTACACTGTTAACAATCTGAATGGTCCTTTACTTCTTCAGCCCAGAGAATGTTACATCCATCATGCAGCACCGAACAGTGTTTATTGGTTTGTCAATGTCTCCCTGAGCCTATGTGATGATATCCATCATAGACACGTCAGTTTTTAATGTAGTGCCGTCTGAAGGATCGAAGGTGATGGGCATTCAATTGTGGTTTTTGGCCTTGCAGAGATTTTCTGAATTCCCTGCATCTTTTAATAATATTACGCACCGTAAAGGGCGAAATACTTAAAGTCTTTGCAAAAGCTTGTGAAAGAATGTTGTTTTTAAACAGCTGGACTATCTGCTGATCCCAGCTTTTTTGGAATGTGCTGCAGGCATCAATTTCAGAATAAACATATACTTACAAAAAACAGTGAAGTCGATAAAATGAAACATTAAATATCTTGTCTTTGTACTGCTTTTGTTTAAGCACAGGTCAGAGTGGGTTTACAAATCAGTGCTTTTTAATTGTTTTTATTTGTATTTCACAAATTGTCTCCACCTTTTGGAAATGGGTTTGTAAAATGATGCTAGTACATTATAACTTTATCGTTTTATCAAATTAGTAGACAAATTAGTAAAAAAAATGCATACATTTATGTACTAAAATGATGACCTGAACTGTATATGATTCCATAATGATTAGGAAGCTATAAAACACTGAGAATTTAGTTTTTCTAAAACAACCAGAATGCCTTGTTTCTGAAAAGTGGGAATCTTGAGGAAGAGAGCTCATCAAGAAATCATTAAACAGATTATTAGAGTGTATTACTTACCATTTAAAAAGTTTTTGGTGTTCGAAAAAAAACCTTAAAGTTACGTTGGGTGAATCTCTGCTGAAGCTGCTCCAAACTTAAAGTTAGTTTGAATAAAACACTAGAATAACTTCTGGTGTCTAGCTTATAATAGTGGTGAAAATTAAACAATTCATACAATGAACAGACCTTCACTGAGATGAGATGAACCAAGCCTGTGTTCTAACCAGCTTGCGATATACAGCAATAACTTTACTGAGGACAGCATATTCTACATGTGTATATTTGTATTTATTATAATGTTATATATGCTGTTCTAATCTGAGCACTTACTGTTCAGATAAATGGTTTTAAACAATTCTCTTGGCTGAAAATATACAAAAGTGTATATTTCTCAACATAGGATATACTATATAACCACATTCTATCTTTTTGGGATCAGTCCTTGTACCTAAAATCAAGTTACTGAGTGGTGCAGTAAGAATTATTGCCTTGGAATAAAACTCACTCAGCTAACCAAAAAAGTCTTACAGACCTTCTTTTTTTTCTTATCCTTCTTCTTTTTCTTTCTGTCAGGATCATCGTCCTTCTTCTTCTTCTTTTTCCTGTGGTCTGAGTCTGAGGGTGTTTCTGTCGGAGGAGGTGGAAAAAATGTGCAAGAGCTTAGAGATTCTGTATTTGTGCAACCATCAGACATACATCATAATTTGAGATGGCTTGAAAAGATCACGACAGAAAGACATAAAGAGAGTTTTATCGTTACCTGGTGGTAAAGGGTCCTGGGGTCGATGGTGTCTGTGCTTGTGTTTGCTCTTCTTCTTTGGAGGCTGAATGTGCATCAGTCTGTACTGTTCTGGAAGCTTGAGGTGTTGGAGGTGAGGAGAATTTAAGAAAAAAAGAAGGAACACATTTTGAGCTAAAAGGTTAGACAGAAGTTTTGCTGGTGTTAATTTGCTGCTATGACCTTCTAACTGATGCTGACACTGCAAAACATACAGGTTGCCTTGTACACAAACAAGAATGAGCATGTGCGAATGGATAATGCATCAGTATATTCCAAACTACAAACAAAGACACTTATTTAACATGAAAACTCATCCTCAATATTAGAGATGGCATTGATTTGATTCCAAGTATCTGTAGCTGGCCTATATCAGAAGAAAATGCATCAGACATCAGAAGGAAAAAAGAAAACACTCATCTAATACAGTCCTGTAATAAATCTATCCTGAAATAGCACACATTCACACTGTGTGATGTGATCTTGTTAGCTATATTTCTTCCTGTGGGGTAGTATGTAGTGTGTTTGAGTAGTCTGGGCATAATAACCTACTTTTAGTGGCTAATCATAATTGAAGAGCTTAGTAATTTATAAAGAAAAAATATCAGTTTCGACCGATATTCAATGTTTCAATATCGTTATCTGTCGGATTCATTCAGCCTGGAATCACTTTCAAAAAACTTGTGTTTGCAAAATAACAAATAAACTCATCACTGTTTTAATATCTTAATAATCAGTAAATCAAAGCATATTTCAAAATGCATGCATGCTGGCTTATGACACCCATTCCAAGTATATTTTGTCCAATTTTAACAACCTTCAAAACATTTTATGTTATATATACTATATATCTTTCATAGTTTATGTTTTATTCCAAACTGCATATGCCTTATTTGATGGCCAATTATATAAAAAGAAAACACTGAGATGCACCACAACTAGCAGTACAAGAATTCAACATTTGCAAATTGTCTATTTAAGAAGAAACAGTAGAAAAAATCAAGCAACTGTAAAAGTAAATGACTAAAATCAGATATTGGCATATGGGGCTGATATCCAGTTAGCTACTTGTAACCACGCAGTTTAGCAGTTACTCTACACTGGTTGTTGGTGTTTCTATAACTGGTCTTTCTGTTACTTTAATGACAAATGAATGTTTTTCTGACAGTTGTTCTACAAGTACTGACTGCGCCCATGAAATGTTCTGAAAAGTGCACTGAGATGTAATTTATCATGAAAACATTTCGCCACAGTGCCAACCCATAATTACACGAAGAGGTAGCCAGACTTACTGGGCCTGTGTGTAGCCTGAAGCCAGTCAGCATGGCTCCAGTCAGAGGGCTGAAGGAGTTGTTGCACACTGGAGGTTTCTCGATGAGGGAGCGTAAAGAACTTCCATCCTGAAGACCTGGATTGTCAATCATTCCTAACAGAGAGAGGCAGAATTCCTTTGACTTCCAAGAATCATCCTAGGTCTCCATTCCTAACTTATCGTTTTCTAATCCTCTTAAGTCAATATAACAGTGGAAGGTGTATGAAGATAAATATCATCATCAGACGCTGTAATGTAGAACCAGTTTACCTACATTGGATGTCGAATTAATATTAGTCCATTTATGTCCAAACTAAATTTTGTTTGATAAGGGAGAATGTCATAGAACTGGTTCTGGTTAGGCTAAAATGATTTAATTTGCCTTGTTTTTGGCAGATTTTTGATCAGGCAAGCTCAGAGAACATACAGGCTAGAGATGGCATATTAATATCTATGGGTATCAGCAAAAGTCCTGTAACAAAGCTATGATGAAACTCACATTGTGTGATGTGATGTTATCTTTGTATTTCTTCATGTGGGGCAGTTGAGTGTTTGAGTAGTCCGATAAACTACTTGTAGATGTGCATCTTAAATGCTAAAACAAGCTCATTTTAAAGCTTAGTAGCTTTTAATGAAAAAAAAAAAACTAGAGCCGTATCGAGACTGGCTACTCAAGGTTTCGGTATCAGGGTCTGTATTGGGGAAAAAACGGGGTATCGTGCCATCTCTAATACAGACTGAAGGAAATTTAAAATGTGAGATGGACATAGTTTTAACGTACACGCAGTACACAGTACTTACCAGGAAGCTCTGGGAGGAAGTTGCTGAGCTTCTCCTTCACTTTCTTGCCACAGAACTTGTTGTATGAGTGCTCCAGGTTGTAGTGTGTGATGAGGTTGGTGTTTCCTGTCAGCTCGTTCTCCACTTAAAAAGAGAAAAGTGAAAGGAGGGGTGGGGTTAACAAAAGTCCAGATAACTAACAATACCTAAATCCACATTAGCTTAACATTTTGCAGATTACACACCAGAATAACACACCACTAAAACTACACTCTTGAAAAGGTGGTTCTTTATTGGTATACTAAGGGAATAGTTCTGTTTAAAACCATGAGTTCTACATAGAACCATTTCATGATTAAATGGTTCTTTGCATGGCAAAATCTTCAGAATGTTGAAGACTGAGCTGTATATAGTTCTATACGGAACCTTTCTGAAAATGGTTCTACACAGTGCCAAAAAGGGTTCTGCTATTTTTAAGATGTCAAGCTTATAAGAATAAAAGAACCCTTTTGGTGCTATACAGACCTATTTTCAAAAAGGTTCCACACAGAGCAACATACAACACATTCTCCATCAATCTGAAGAACGTTTTACCATGTAAGGAAACATTTCAGCCTGAAACAGCTCTATACAGAACTCATGGTCCTAAATAAAACTACTTCCTCAAGAGTGCAGTGTAAAGAGTAAGAGTACTACTCGGAGGTAGTCATAGTCAAGTGATTCTACTCCTATTACTACCTTTATAGCTATTATGGTTGTTATTATATAATTATTACAATCTAATAACGGAGTGGGCAGCAGTAAAGGGGGGTGGGGGGTGGGGGTGCAGGAGGACACTCACTCGGCAGCTCCCGCAGTAAGTAAAACGGTTCATTCATGGCACCAGGCTTTCTGAGCGGAGGCCCTTCATCCACCAACTGGTGCGGAATCCCCACCGACATGTGGACCGGATTCTGGGCTACCGGCGGGGCGAGTGGCTTCCCGGGACCGAAGCCCATGGCGGAGGGTCCCGGAGGTCCCTGAGTGTCAGCCTGGCCGTAGAGGGAGGAGAACATCTCTGTCATGGTGGGGAGAGTCTCTGTAACGCTGACTGTGTTCTGGACGTGCGGTAGTAGTTTGTTGACGCTGTTTGGTAATGAGAGTGATTTCCTGTAGCTGGAGCAGCACTTTACCGTAATATTCCGAATACTGTTTCCATCAGGAAAACGCTTCCACAAAGCATGCTAGCCTGTTCTCATATCGAAAGAATGCACCTATACCCGACACAGTCGTCCGTTAGTCACACTGTGTCATTCACAATATTTTGTTGGTGGTTAAAACATAAAAACAGTCACTGTTTGTGTCAACTGTCTTCCACGTAAAACGGTAGAACACAGGAAAACTGAAGAGACGCCTTCCGCCTATCAAACGCGTTCCAATATTCATTATTGTGCTCTACTAGGGTGCCTAGGTAGTGGCCACCATTGCTAGTGTGCTCCAAACTGTTAACACGCAGCCTCAGGTACGCCCAACTCATAAGAAGCAACCATGTCTGTCAATGGAAAGTAATCAAATAATACTGTAGAAATTACTTATTAATTGTAATGGTAATGTTTGGATGTGTACAATTAGCTCACAATTATTTTCTGCTATAATTATGTTCAAAAACACCTGTAAACTGTTAAAAAAAAAAGACAGATGGCAGCTAATAGCTAACTATTAAACTACAACAACCACTTAACAGCCTCTGTATCTTCCACTTATAAATGAGACAGGTTGGATGAACCAGTTTCTACCTGGTTCCTATCATCACCATTGTAAAGAAATCTGAGTCATAAGTTTCTCTACAAATTATCCATTTCACATCAAACCACTCTGAATGACTTTGTTTACATCTCAATTTGCGTTATGAAGACTTTTTTGAAAAATTGGTGGATTCCCCCTTTTAATTGTAACACACAGGGAGAGAGCAAATATGCGCACCATCTGGGGGTCCCTCAGGACCAGTTCGAGAACACTGACTAAACGACCTCCTGATCTGCACTTCAGCAGCATCAGACCACTAACTTTAGAGATGCGAGAGACATCGTTTGAACACAAACTACGTTTTAAGTTCACCTGTTTCTGTGAGCTTCCACGGTGCTGAATTACATGGTGATCTATATGAACGTTCACATCTGTGCTGAACTGAACGCACATTAGTCAGATAGTGACGAACACACGGGCGGCTCTGTTCGGAACGACTGCGGCTCTGTTACGGTTCTGCTGTTAGACTCGCGGTTACACACTAGTTAGTGTTCGAGAACAGAGAACGGAAGTGCGCCAACGGGGACGCGCCCATCCTCTCCTTTATGACACAGAGAGGGCCAATAAACGCTCTCGTCCCACACAACTAACCAATCAGCGTGCGCGAGCGGAGGGGGCGTGTCTCATTTTCCTTCGTCCTCTCTGACCTCTGTCCCTTTAACCCTCGTTAAAGACTTGCCGACGCAAATTTCTCACGCCGAGTAGAGCAGCTGTATCACCGGCCATCGCCGGTTTTTCGTCCCTCTCTTCTCCGTTTTTCTGAAACATGGCGCTGCTGACTCCTCTCTTCGCTTTCCTCTATCATTTACCGCAGGTTTATAAATGGCTCCTGAAACCGTACTACGTAGCGTCCTTGTTTATGTCGGTAGCTTTCCTGCTCGTCCGCAAGACCCCCGGAATCTGCGAACATCTTTCGACGCAGAGGGAGGACGGGAACCCCTGCGACTTCGACTGGGTCAGTATCACGTTTCTATAACAGGGATAAACATAATTTAAGCCCGGCTCACAGTGGTCAGAGAGGTCAGAGAGCTGCCATGCGGCTTCACATGTTTACACTGTTATCCTGCAGCAGCAGCAGCACTGAGGACCCTCAGCAGAATTTAGGGGCTCGGCTGCTCATGTTTTTCAGAGGAGGTGTTCAGATCTGCACACCGAATCCAGATCCAGTCCTGGATTTTGTTAGCACTGGAATTAATTAACACTTCATATAACTGGGGAGGTGCTCACTTTGTCACCTCAGCTGACTCCGGGGGTAAAATGAAGGTCCGTAGTACCTCAACCTGGGAGCTTTGACTTCAGCAGTCAGAGAACGAGGCTGGGTTTGAATCAAGATAAATATATGAATGTCACTTAATAAAGACCCAGGAGTCATTTAAGACATGCACATTTGCCCCCTTCCCTCTTCATCTCAGAGGATGCGTCTTTTGTGTAGCTAATAACAGGCAGGAGGGAGGCAGGTGCAGCACAGGCCTGTACATGTAGCAGAGTAATAACCAGGGGTCGGATTGTTGAAAGAATAAATGAGGATGGTGGGCTTAAACAACAGAGTGAATGTAGTGATAGTTCAAAATGCACTCCAGGCTTAATTTAGCATGTCAATGTCAAACATGGATGTGTAATAGACATCTTAAGTGATATCACATTAGAATTTTAATCCAAAGGGGATAGATGCAGTTTTACTAGGTAGTCGAATTACCTTTTTTCCCCACTTTTTTAAAGGGGGGGGGCGTACTCACTTTCCCTCCCCTCAAATCGAGTCTGTGTAGTAAGTAGTTCCACAATTACAATTTAGATTTACTGAGTGTTTTCAAACAGATCTTGTTAGCTTTGCTTCTCTGCAAGTAGTAGCCTATATTAGTCAATCAGTTCAAATTTATTGCTATGTTTTTAGGTCCTTTATTTCACTCTATTTTCTTGGTGACGTCAAACACACTACTTTGTTGTTGTTTACACCTCTCACTTTTGAACTTTTAGCAATTTAGAGCATGTAGTATTGAGTTTGGTTCTGTACTACATCACCCACCTCTGTCTGTCCTTTCAGTGATTTATTTACTATTCATTATGAAATTCCAGGCAACTCTTAGACACATGATGATGGTTGATTGTTTAATCTCTATATCTTGTTTGTTTTCAGAGGGAAGTGGAGATACTGATGTTTCTGAGCGCTATAGTCATGATGAAGAATAGAAGAGCAAGTAAGTGTCATCTGCCATGGTCACTCACACATTTTTACACGAGCCACCCTGTGCATATTTGTAGGTCAAGGCAGTTTATATGTGTAAATGCTTAAGGTAATTAGATCCATGTGACAGCTAGACAACAAATGGTCAGTCTACACAACATTCGCTCTGGCTGAATGGCGGTTGTTGGGTCAGACATTGTGCCCTTCGAACGAGTGGACCTGAACAATAGGTTTGTTTACTGTATGCAGGTTAGTCCCCTGAGGGGAGTGGTTTAAGGGGCTCAAGGCTTGTTGGGCTGGTTATCCTGTTTGTTGTTTCTTGCTTTCCCCCATACCTCCTTGGGTAATTCTTTTTTTTTTGCTGCTCTTTCTCAGTTCACATCATTTCAAAGAAGCATTGTTGGTATGACCATACTAGGATGCCAAAGCACTTAAATTGTTTATCGTGCTCAGTTTAGTAATCAGTCAGTACACATATGCAAATATACAGACACACAGGTAAACTTCAATATAAAATAATGAAACAACTTGCTGTTGGTTCATTTATCATGAAATTTTGACAGTGTAGACAGTAGATGGTCTTTTAAAATAATAGTTTTAAGATTTTTCTTTGACAGTGACAATATATTAAAAGTATTTTATTATACACCGATCAGGTATAACATTATGACCACCTCCTTGTTTCTGTGCTCATTGTCCATTTTATCAGCTCCACTTACTACATAGGTGCACTTTGTAGTTCTATAATTACAGACTGTAGTCCATCTGTTTCTCTGCATACTTTGTTAGCCCCCTTTAACCCTGTTCTTCAGTGGTCAGGACCCTCATGGACCCTCACAGAGCAGGTACTATTTAGGTGGTGGATCATTCTCAGCACTGCTGTAACACTGATGTGGGGGTGGTGTGTTAGTGTGTGTTGCGCTGGTCTGAGTGGATCAGACACAGCAGTGCTGCTGGAGTTTTTAAATAAATTAAGTTGTCCACTCACTGTCCACTCTATTAGACACTCCTACCTTGGCAGTCCACCTTGTAGTTGTAAAGTCAGAGACGATAGCTCGTCTGCTGCTGCACAGTTTGTGTTGGTCATCCTCTAGTCCTTCATCAGTGGTCACAGGACGCTGCCCACAGGACGCTGTGGGCTGGATATTTTTGGTTGGTGGACTATTCTCTGTCCAGCAGTGACACTGAGGTGTTTAAAAACTCCAGCAGCACTGCTGTGTCTGATCCACTCAGACCAGCACAACACACACTAACACACCACCACTAAGTCAGTGTTAGAGCAGTGCTGAGAATGATCCACCAACCAAATAGTACCTGCTCTGTGAGGGTCCATGGGGGTCCTGACCACTGAAGAACAGGGTAAAAGGGGGCTAACAAAGTATGCAGAGAAACAGATGGACTACAGTCTGTAATTGTAGAACTACAAAGTGCACCTATATAGTAAGTGGAGCTGATAAAATGGACAATGAGCTTAGAAACAAGGAGATGGTCATAATGTTATGCCTGATCGGTGTATATTTATTATATGTTTTACTTTATACTGACTCTATATTTAACTATGTACATTGTACCATACATGTACATATTTACTACATAGTTAACTATGTATAGTAAATATACTATATATGTAACCGTGTATATTATGTATATTGTATATGTATAGTGTGTGTAAATGTTTACATTGTGTAATGTGAAGTGTCCACACTATGTTGTGAACATTACACTACAAATCAGTGCCACCAGTGGTGTCATGCAGTCAGCGAACTAGTCCTTCCTAATTCCTCTTTAAAAATGTAAATTTTTACTTATCTCTGATGTCTTTGTATCTTTCTTCTTCAGTAACGGTTGAGCAGCATGTGGGGAACATCATTCTCTTCTGCAAAGTGGCGAATGTGATTCTGTTCTTCAGACTGGATATTCGCATGGGACTGCTCTATCTGACCCTGTGCATTGGTCAGTATGCACACACATACAGTGATGTCATTAGGTACTTGGACACTGACAGTTTTGTATTGTTTTGGCTCTGAACTCCAGCACGCTAGATGTGAAACGAAACAGAACATGCAGAATGGCTGCTTTAATTTGAAGGTATTTACGTCTATATTGGGTGAATTAAATATGAATGTGAGCCATTTATCCGTAAAAACACCATATCCACTGGCAGCCATATATGCACAATACACCATGTTTCACAGGTGAAGTGATCTGCTTTGGATCATGAGCAGGTCCTTCTGTCTTCATCTTTTCATCACGTTAATCTTCATCCCTCCGTCTGTCCGTAAGACTGTCGATTCCCAGAACTCAAAGCAAACAGTAACCTGGCCTTTCTGTTCTTGAGGTTTACTAGAAGTTTGCATCTTATATTAACCCTCTGAGGACTTGCAGATGTTCTGTTCATGGTAATATTTGACACTTGTATGCATTGTTGCATCATTAGTTCAGTTCACAGCTGGCGAAGAATCAACTGAACAGGGATTTGTCCACATACTTTTGGTCCCCTAAAATGGGGCACTATGCAGACAAGCAATGTAGTTTCCACATGATTCACTTGATATGAATGTAAATACCTTCAAATTAAATAAAATAGCCTCTTTAATTTCATAGTCATTCTAAATCCAGTGTGCTGCAGTTCAGAGCCAAAATAAAAGTTGTGACTGGTCACTTACTTACAGACTGCTCTGTAAACTCATGCATGCCCACTCTTCCCACAAGCAGTTTAACAGCTTTCTAGACATACTGGGTATCAAACAACCTTCAGAAGCTGATTTTATTGTAAATGTCTTATAGTCAATACTATATTACAAGACATCTTGAATTGGTGTTATTGCAAAAGCTCTCTTCACACTTCTTGATGGTGGTTCACTGGCCCCTGAGTGCTATTCAGGGTTGAGAAAATTACTTTCAAAATACAGTTACAAAAAACAGATTACATGAGTTTTTATCCGTTATATAATCTAAAGGATTGCATAATCTCAATAACATTGTGATTACTTTCATTTAGCTTCAAATTATGATTCATTTTAGGGCCATATTGCTTACTGAAGTAATAAAAATCCTTTGAATATGATCCAATAATGAATCAAACTGATTACTCTGGGTTTTTTTTTAAACTGCAGTGGATAGTATTTATTTATAGGTCAGATATGTAATCCTTATTCGTTAATCTTGATGCAGTAACTGTGCTTTTCTCCTATAGTGTTCCTCATGACCTGCAAGCCTCCCCTCTACATGGGCCCGGAGTACATCAAGTACTTCAGCGATAAGACCATAGACGTGAGAACCATTTTAAATCATTTCTTGCAGTACAGACAGAAATACAGACCACCCAAAGTTCTTATAGGGGAATTCCACAATGTTTTCAATATTTCTTCATGTTTAAATCTTTGATACGTAAATAAAGTCATTCAGAGTGGTTTGATCCGAAAAGCACTGAGACATGGTTTATGATACTTTGGTATTTAAGATTTTGGCCTGAAACCTAGTGTTTAAAGTACATTCATGGTGGAGAGCTACATATAGGGTGTTGTATCCACATTAGATATAAAAACTGAGAAGACGTGCAGGTTTACTGGTTGTTTTAGATAGTAAAAAAGTAGGTAAATTTGTGTTGTAGACATTGTGACCACTGGTTTCTATCATGACTGTTATAAAGAAATCTCTGTCAGTGAGTTTCTCTCCAATGAACCAATTTCACATCAAAGTACTCTGAATGACTTTGTTTACAACTTACTGACTGACACCTTACTTATGACTGAATTATGCAAACAAAAATTGTTGGAATTCCCCTTTAAGAGAAAATGTGTGAACACAGATCCTTTCTAACAGAAACCAGTGGCATTTATCTATGTCCTTTACAATATCTGGGCATTTCATGTTGAATGGACCAATAGAAATAGTTAAAAATTGCCTGAAATAGAATCTTGACAAATTAAACTTAGGAACAAATGAATGATTTCTGCTTCTTCTATAAATGTACTATTTCATTCAAGGATTTGTTGATAGTGACAATAGGATTAGTTTACCAGAAAGAACAGAATCAGTCTTTAAAGTAAAATCTAGGCTTTAGCTAATATATGTACATATAAAAAAAACAATTTCTTATGTTATGCCCTTCAGGAAGAGCTGGAGAGAGACAGTCGTGTGACATGGATTGTGGAGTTCTTCGCTAACTGGTCTCCAGAGTGCCAGTCTTTTGCTTCAGTCTATGCCGATCTGTCCCTGAAGTAAGAACCAGTGACTCAAGACATTAACAGATACAGTGCACTGCTGTAACACAGTTTAATGAGTCTCTAAAATCGTTTGCCATATGCATCGTTCTAGACAGGGGTTAGAGAACCTATACTGCTGTTATGGCAGAAGTTCTCTTCACACTGACCTCTGTTTTCTCACAGGTACAACTGTGCTGGGCTGAAATTTGGTAAAGTGGACATTGGGCGCTATGGTGAAGTGTCTAAGAAGTAAGTGATTTTTCTCACTTGCGGCTTTTTGCTGATCCTATTCAATTTTAGGGTACTTCATTTGGTTTTCTCTCCACCTTCTCTCTTCTTAGGTATAAGGTTAGCACATCTCCTCTCTCCAAGCAGCTGCCCTCCTTGGTGCTGTTTCAGGGGGGTAAAGAAGTCATGAGACGCCCTCAAGTGGACAAGAAAGGAAGAGCAGTGTCTTGGAGCTTCACTGAGGTGAGTTGTAATCACAATGATTACTATTAAAAGTGAGGTTCTACTTGAACTAGAGATCATAATCTTACATTTTATACTTTTAAATATGTTGAAACTGTATTTATCAATTTATACACAGAGTTTTATGACTTTCTTTGTTTAGAATTAAAGGGGAATTTCACATTGTTCAAAATCTATAATTGTCATTGAGATGCAAACAAAGTCATTCAGGGCGGTTTGATGTGAAACGGCTCTTTATACAGAAACCTACCATCTTTGATTTCTTTGCAAAGGACGTGATGGAAACCAGTGGTTACAAAGCAAATATATCCATTTTATTTACTATCCAAATCCACCAGTGAACTTACATGTCTTTGGGATTTTTGTATTTAATGGTGAAACAGTGGAAACATATATTAGTGAAATAGTAAAAACAATATGTTTTCTTTGGGGTCTATTGTGCCTGCCTGTACCTCTCCGCTATGAACGGATTTTTGGCTAAAAGTTTCTCTCAAAACTATCACACAACAGTGTCGTTATAACCATTTCATGCAATGATTTTATACGAGGGAGCTTTTAGAGGCATTAAACACTTCAGACTTCTGGTTCCCATCACCACCACTGTGAATAATTCTGACTCTGTAAGTTTCTACAAAACAGAGCATTTCACATCAAACCTTTGTTTACATCTTAACAATTGAAATATGCCAGCCTTGCAGATTAAATGCAACCTAATAATTTTAGGTTCTAGATTTTAGAAAAAAAAAACAATGTGGCACAAAAACGTACTGTGACACTCTTTCCTGTTCTTGATGCAACCAATTTTCAGGAGAACATCATCAGAGAGTTTAACCTAAACGAGTTGTATCAGAAATCGAAGAAGCTCAATAAGACCAAAGGAGAGAAGAGTGAGAAGCTGAATGAATCGCACTTCCCCCCTGTGCCTGAGGAGGAGGAGCCGGAGTCCCAGGAGGTCGAGAAAGAGACCAAGAAGGACAAATAGAATGTTCCGGCTGGTGAGCACTGTGACATCACTGTGGAACTGAACGGTTTTATGCAAATAACTCTGATTGATGTGCAGTGCAGAAAGTTCCATGGCAACAAACGCTTGAAATTTTCAGTAACATAATCAGTTTAACTACAGAATCAGCCAAGCTAAGTCTTACCTTAATTTACACTGAAAAAACACTCACTACCGCTGTTTAATAGCTCACAGCCATTCAGCTACTGTTGAGACGTGAAGACGGGCGTTGTACTGATGCTTTTCCTGTTGACAGTGTTTTCATAATTTAACCAAATTAAACATTTCGTAGTTCCTACCTCTGAAGAAGTTAATGATGATAGGGTAGTAATATATAGACTGGAGGGGGCGTTTAACTCATTCTTGCCTACTGTTGGCATCCTAATCTTCATTCCAATTTTTTTTTAATTTTTAATAATCATTCCTATTTTACCTTTTCTTCTTTTGCTAGTCTTGAAGTAATTTACGAATGTGTTTGTCTTGTATAATATTGCTTTTCTTGTACTAGCACCAAGTGATGGTCTCAACAATAAAGGGATGAACTGTAAGCTGCAGATGTACAGTTCCTTTATGGAAGCTTCTTATCAGAAGAATTTTCAGTGCAGAACATCACTGTTAGTGTTAGTATCTTGTAAGAGTTTTATTACAAGGCAGTATGAGCACAACACCAGTGCTATATATTGACATTCTCAGACACACACAACTTCCTTATTACTTTCCTATTGCAATCTGTGTTGTCTTAATTATGTTTTGTTACTTTAGTACTTACACTAAGGATGTTTCTGTCTTGGTTTGGACCTGTGGGGTTTTCTTTTTTTTTAATATATATATTGCATTTGGACACTGATACTGCTCAGCAAAGCAAACTGCTGTCACTGTTCGCTACTTTCCTTTGGGTCTCTGTGTATCCGTGGAAGTCAGTGTTATTAGCTATGATGCCTAACTGGACCTAACTTTCAGTTACATTGCCCAGAGCAGGACTGTACTGTGCATGTGCCCTAGTGAATGACTGAGGTTTCGGATGAATATTTTTGTCAAGCCAATAAAAATGTAAAAGAAGTGTTGAAAAAAAACGAACTGTGTGTGGACTGACTTCTTTAGCACCATAGTATTAGGATGTTTACCAGGAGTACTTGCTCAAATATAGTGTGTCAAAGTTTGTAGGCACTTGCTTAAGAAACATTTTGTCTGAAGGAGATTAATAGGCAGTTTGCCCCCCCCCCTTTGCTTTGGTTTGTAACAGCCGCTACTCTTCTAGGAAGGCTTTACAACAGAAGTTAGAACATTGCTGTGAGGATTTGAGTGCATTCAGTTACAAGAGCATTAATCAGGTGGTAACTGGATGGAGCTCCTTCACTCCAGAGAACACTGCTCTACAGCCCAATAGGGGGTGGCTTTATAACTCTCTAGGTGACCCTCGGCATTGGGCACCTTAGACTCATGTGGTGCTGCTCCATAGCATCCCATCTCATTGGCAGTGCTTTTCAATGGAGATTATACAAGCTATATGTGATATTTTTGGACATGTAGTGTGATACTAACAGCAGTCCTGGAAAAGCTATTCCAAAAATAATCTAAAAGTTAACAGCTACTCCACCCTGAAAGAAATAAAGCTACAGCAAAGCAAGCATGGAGGACAAAGCAATTACACTACAACTGATTCTTGATTTGTTTTGCTTAATGAGGAAAAACCTGAAAATCAAACAATTTTACCTTGATAATAGTTCTCCAAGGACATCTCATCTACCATACTATACCAGGTTTGCTTTTCTAAAAGTAAGTTGGAGGCTTTACCCCTAAAGCCTGGTAGTGTAATTATAAGAAGTTTAAAGAAATGGGCTGAATCTAAAGTAGTGTGAATAAAATTACTACTTGCTGAACAAAGTAGGTTAAATATCAAAACATTAGAAATACCTGAACAACCATTACTATTGTTTCTAGTAAGAGACATCAAATTCTGAGGGCACACTCACCTGTAAACTTTTTACAACATAATTTTCCAATGCAAACAATTGTGCTCGGTATTAAACAGTTACTTCCACATCATAAAATCACTGTAACCAGGCTGAGCTCAAGAACAGAACAAAAAGCAATAGCTTTTTGTTTCAAACCTTAAATGCTTTTTAAAAACTTTTAAAATGTTGTAGATAAGAACCATTGACAATAAGAAATTTAAATGCAAAAATCTGTATTTGAATTATTTTGAAACTATCATAACATCTGAAATTGAATTCTAAAATTCAGTTTATAAAAAGCGTTCCATTTTTCTGTTACTTCATATTTTCAGATTCTGTTAATTCACATTTAAAATAAAATCCAGTATCTTACAGGCAAAAGCAGTCAAATGCCACATCTCGTCCTGACTACCCCTTCCACCTTGTACCTAAATGTCCTGGCCATTTTATCAGAAACAACTACTACACTTGCCATTAGTGAATGTAACCCATCTGTTGCTGCAGTTCATCAACCCCCTATGTTTAAGAAATGCTTTGCAAATGGCCCTATACCACTGATCCTGGCACTTGGGAAAAAAACTGATGTTCAAAATGGTGTTGATGCTAATTAAAGTATCAGGCAAGTGTGATTTATAAAGAGTTTATTACCAATGCTCCACCACGCACACACACACATACCTACATTCACTCACACTGAGCTATACAGTACACTTTTTTCCTTCTTAAGTAACCTACTGATCCAGACCCCCAAGTATTTCTTGTTTTCTTTCAGAGAAGGCATTCACTGACTGTTAAATCAGCTGTCAAAACACCTTTTGCCCAATTGGACAAAATATGCATTTAGTCCAGTCTTGATCTAAAGTTCAATTTAATGCCACTGACAAATCAAGGAATCACTGAAACACAAGCCCTGCAAAACGTCCACAAAATCATTTTGAAAGAAAGTAAAAATTAAATAAGAAAAAAAAGGCTTTTCATAATTCGTAACCACAGCGGTCACACTGATCAGGTCAACCATTGTCCTATCAGAGTGCACTGATATAGTTCCCCATCTCTCTGACCAGCTAGCTTTTAATCCCAATTGGTCAGCGAGACAAAGCCAACCAAGAATTTCTCTTCAAATGATAACTGATAACCAAAAACGACATTTCTCAGAGGCAGACATACTTTACAAGGTAATGCTGAAATTTATCCCATAAAGTGGGCAAACCTGTGTGTCAGATGTGTTCAGGTGCTACATCTCAGCGACTGTGCATTACATAGTTTCATCTGGATGATTTCAAGGCTTGTCTTTACGTGGAGACACAGGCTTAGCCTCTGAGTGGCCATAGCAGCCGTCAATCAATGGTAGGCAAGTCTTCTCTCGCCCACTTGATTGATTAAAAATCCAAATTGGACATAAATCTCATCAGCTGTAGTAGAAAAGAAAGGGAAGCATTCAAGTAATGCATGTTTCAAGCAGATTCTCTGATTAACAAATCACAAGTCCTTAACATATGATGTGTGGATCACAGAACCTACAGAAAATTTGCACTATTCAAATACGCCCCAAATCCTTGATCTTATCAATAGCTATTTATAAATTCATATAAAATAACATTTTCAAATTAAATAAAATAAAAACATTTTTCCTTGATTTCCAAGGCCATTGCTCTAAAACACTATCTTGAAAAGGCTCATCATTAAAACAACAAATTATGCCATTTCGTTTCCAAGCTCCCCACTACTGCTTTGCTTCTCCAGTTCTGATTGGTCAATACACAGAAGCAGAATGGCCTCATAAGCCAATCACAGTGGTCCAAAATGGCAACTGCATGCCAATAAAGTCTCTGAATGAAAGCCAGCCACTTGGAGAAAACCCCCAGGAGAAGAACTGAAACCATTTTTCTCTATACAGAACATACAATTTATCATTTACACACTTGTCATAGAGCAATCTTTTTTTCTTATACTGATTTAAACAAAAAAAGCAGTCCAGGTATTTGCCACACCTCCTCATTAGATATAAGCAAGGAAGTCCAGCCTCGAAACGTGAGGGGATTGTATGACAAGGTGCCATATTTGTGAAACAGAACTCTACTCCTCCTCCTCCTGAGTGTCTTATCTGACCATAAACCTGCTGGTCATTTATCATTCTTTTCTCATAGGTAAAAACAGATTTGGAGTCTTTACTCCATGGTGTGGAAGCACCAATAATTGTCTTGTGCACATGACATATTTCACTTCCAGTAGTGAGGCTCTCCTGTGAGAGTAGGCAGAAAAAGAAGGTCCATGGTCCAGCCGGTGACACCAGGCTAGTGGAAGCTGCCAGCCATCACTCAGACTGATATCTCATACGTGGTCCCTCCAACGCCCGTCACCTTCTTCACCCCACCTCCAGGCTTGTGGGCGGGGCTCTGAGAAGAACCAACACTGGGATAGGCCTGTCCTGGGCGGGTGGAGACACTGACTGGATGAGAGGGAGAAGAGGGGGTAGAAGAAGAAGACTGAGGGAGAGACGATCTGGGCTGCCCATTCGTCCGACTATAAGATTTCATCTGAATCTCGTCCCTGAATATGAGAGAGCAACAGAGAGACAAAGAGACAGAAAAAACAATGAACAGTAAATACATTTTGCTGTGGTAATTTCACTGACAATTTAAGATTCCATAAGATAAGATTCCATTCCACTCTTCATGAGAAAAAGAAATGTGAATGTCAATTAATTTTAAAAATTCTCAATTAACCACCTCAGATTTGCTTAATATTTTCATGAAATAATGTCATTGAGCCCAACAGATAGTGTGCAACATTTCAGACTTGAATATTCATTATTTTCTGCAATACAGAGGCTTTAAAAAGTGGGCATATCCTCAATTTTTGCCTTAAAATATGCGCTACAGAAAACACGGAAACTTTGACAAGTCATTACTTTTGAACTCTTAATAGTAGATGCTGGAACATGCAAAAAATATTGATGCTAGATGTTATTGGACGTTATTCTTTGGTTTAAGATGTGTTGAGCTTCCTTTCACTTTGGTCCTAAGACACGTATACAGAGTTTTTGGGAGGAATTCAAATTCTTTTTAACATGCCGCTCTAATACGGCAAATACTTTTACATAGAGACCATAAAGTGTATCCTGACACAGCTTTTAAAAAAGAAAAAGAAAAAAAAACAACCCCAGTCACCCAACTCATCCTACCTCTTACGCATTACATACAAGTATGATACAATATACTTTTCTGAACCTATCACGGATATCGTCAGTACTTGTAGAACACTGACAAACTAACCATGTTTCATAATAAAGAGCAAAATTAGTTTCATTTAACTGGATTTAGTGCAACACAGTATGTGAAAAATTATTTTCACATTACAATTTCACAATAGTTTTTGATAGCACCACTGGTTCTTTTTCTCTGTTTCAATTGATCAGATGCCTGAAAAATAAAAACCAAAAAAAAAAACAAAAAAAACTGTCATGTATCGTAAAAATTTCTTTAAGTATATTATATTTTTGCCGTATCACCCACCTCTACATAAAACTGTAGTCAAAATACAAGGTTAACAATACAAGGAAAAAAATATATATGACTAACTACACATAAGACAGAAATGCCATTTTTAAAGCCTGCTGAAAATTCTGTTACCCCGTTTTAGTAGTTAAACACACGTTAAACATGTCATTCCTTAAAATATCGCATCTAGCATGAACAGCTTTGATAATGACTTATCAAATTTTATCCAAAGTACTCTTTTTCAGACAAAAATGAAAGAGTCCTTATAATGAATGAATGAATGAATACACACACACACACACACACACACACACACACACACACACACACAGCTATTCAGGATACTGGAATTTAACGCTACACACATTCGCACTGAAGTCATAAGGAATGTTTCACCCCTGAATGCTTTTTGAATGATGCACAACAGAGGGCAGCCAATCTGAACAGAGATCATGTACACATCAGTCTTGGAGGTGAAATAACAAAAATCAGCTTGTTTAACTCTTAGGCATATAGAAAGGTTGGAAAATGGTCATGAAAAATTAATGATGACTGGACCTCAGGGGAAAAAATACAACAGAAGTAAAATATAAGACATAGCCCACTGAAAGGTCATACCCACTTTTTAAAACCTCTTTATTAGGGATGTATTAATCATGGATTTTTATGGATGATTTCTTTTTTCCTCTGATTTTAGTAGCCCTTTTTTTTTTAAACAAGATGCTATGTGGGGTAAATGAATACATGAATCACATTTCTAATGCTTTCTAATAGCCAGAGTTTCAATATAAATAACAGTATGTGCTCTTTAACCAGCTAAACTGAAAAATAAGTTGTTTATTTAAATAACAGGAATCAAAGTGCTATTGAAAGTACTGAAAGCTCTTACACTGAAAATAAGGAACAGCTGGCTACTTAGCACAATGACTCGTGCATGCATTTTGATACAGGCATAGCAGCAGCATTCAAACACAGCACTTGTTCACTTACCTCGCTCATGTTATTTAGGTCAAAATTCTAACAGATCAGCCAAAATGAAAACAATAAATTGGCCAATTGCGTGTTTGGTGCAAAAGCCATTTCCAATCATGCATCCCTGCTCTGTATCTCTAACTACTGTGGTCTAAGTCTAGAATTTTGTACTAAATCTATTGGGCATAATGATATTATTTCTGATTGTACCAAGCAAAGCTGAGATGGTCAGTCAGGAGGACTTTGGTGATTGCACAAAGAGGCAAAGTGGTGCTCCTGCTCTTCTGTTGTTATAAAATCAATGTCACACAAAATCACTTTGAGATTACATTGTCCTCTGTGTTTTCTTATCTGAACAAATAAACTGCAAAACAGGACACACTGTATGCAGGTACAACTGTAACACTGTGCAAGTACAATGGTTTGCAAGCAAGCATAGACCATAGGCAGCAAGCCTAGGCAGTGTTTTACGATGCGACACAAGCTAGACAGGAAATAAAAAGGTGGGAAAACCAGAAAGACCAAGAGAAAGAGAGAGATACACTCACAGGAGTCTGGGAGGAGGAGGAGTAGGAGGAGGAGGAAGGAGGCAGCAGGCTGCGCAGAGCGTCGAAAGGCTGAGGGAGGGGGTGTTACTCACTTGGGCGCCTGGATGCCCCCTCCCCCGACAGAAGCGGAGGCCTTGCGGACCAGGCGATACTGCATCTCAGCAGCCGCAGCGCTGGAGTAGGACAGAGACTTCCCTAAGGGAGGGGGGTGAGGTGAGCGGGGTGGATGGGTGGAGGGGGGCAGTGGAGCGTCCGTGGAGCGAGTGCGGTACGGGTAGGAGGGCTGTGACAATCCCGAGTCAGACAGGAGCGGCGGGCGGGAAAAGCGCGGGGGTCGGTGATGGTGGTGGTGATGATGGTGATGATGATGATGGGGATGTGCATCGTGAAGCAGCCGCTCGCGCTCTCGTTCAGGTGGTGGGGGTGGGGAGGAGGCGGAGCCACGCAGGTAGGCAGCGCGGTGTGGCGAAGCAAGCAGGGCGGAGCTAGAGGCAGAGGGCTGGTGAAGCTCTGCCTCCCGTTGCTGAGCGATTTGAGCAGACAGAAATGGAGAGCTGTATCCAAGCACAGGTGTGCGCGGTCGTCCAGGTGACAGCTCAGGCGCTGCGGACTCAAAATCTGGGCTTTCGGAAGGCGTGAGCAGGCTGTCATAAGACAAGCTGCCATTACGAGGGGCTGGCGGAGGCGTCTGATTGGCTAAGCTCTTGTAGCTGGTGGAGGTGGTGGCCTCGGAGGGTGGCGCATTGTGGGACGAGCGAACGCTGGAGGAGCGTGAGGCACCTCCAGAAAGCACGGTGGGGTCTGAGAAGGAGGGGTAAGAGCGTCCCCCAAGGGAGTAACCAGGGATTCCGGGGCCCGGAGGTCCCCCCTGGCCTCCAGTGGGTCGCTCGGCACCCCCGAGCTCTCCTCCTCCCCCCTCACGGCCATCCAGACTGGGCTCAGAGCGGTAGCCTGGCTGCTGACTGGACTGGAGGAGAGAGGAGGAGGACTCCTTCAGACTGTCCCCACGACTCATCTAAAAAGAGAGAAAGAGAGACAGAGCAAGAGAGGAAGAGCATGGGAGAGAGCCAGAGAAAAACAACAATATTAAAAATAGAAGAACCTGAAACTGGTACGGAAGGAGTAAGACAAAGCTGAGTAGGAGAGAGAAGGAGAAGCAGGAATGCTGGAAAAGTACGTTAGGGCATAAGCACTGTGGGTGAATAGAACATCTATTATATTAGGAGCTTCTAATGAAGTTCAGTCCTGCTAACTACCACCACACCCATTGCGACATGAGCTGAATTTGTCCTACTTACACTTTTTTTTTTATTTAGTTATTTTTTTTAAAGTATACAAAAAAGGTCCACATAATCATCATAACTTCAGTATCAGCATGTACAATGTCTCCCCTCCAGTTTATTTTCACCCTGGTGCTTTTGAATAACCCATGATGTGAGTGATCTGTTCCTGCTGAGTAGGCATTCATGATAAAGAGAACAGCTCTGCATTTTTTTTTCTTTTAAGACTAATGGCATTGACCATCCCATTAAAGATCATCTCGTCCAATATCAATCATATGTTAAGCTGGCCACAGCCATCATTACTTCTTCAGATGCATTCTCATTGGCTATCTGCACACACACTTAGGGCTGCTGGTTAACTTCTTAGCATTAGCTCAGCTGGCATGTAGTGTTCGGGCTAAGTTACAATAGCTTAGTTAGCAGACCAAATGTGCCACACACCACAGCACAGGATAGGTTCCAGTGAACTGATGCTGAAGTAACACCCCTTTAAAGGACATCTGAGAGCACAAAGTCAAGTGACTGGTGTTAGAGTGAAAGCCTTAATGGAATGGTTTTGTGGTGTGCGTAGCTCTTAGCCAAGGTTTTTCCTGGCGCAGAATTTTCCTCTCTTTCTATAAGCACCACCTATCTGTGAGCTCCAGCGCTCTCAGAAAGAAAAGGTACTGAATTTTCACTGGGGCGGTCCCCTCAAGGGTATGTACCTATAGTCAGGGAACATAATTGATCCCTTCTAAAATATAAAAAGGTGGAAAGTGTTTATTTGGCTGTTGGAATTTGACATGTCATAGGAAATCATTTGTAACTCATCATTTTTAAATCCCGACATCATTTTTAAATACTGCCCAATGCTAATGTACACACTTTTGTGAGCCTTTCTTTTGAAAGTTAAAGTTGCTAGATAAAAAAAAAAGTGAAGCTCATGACATCACACCTTTAAGTTATTCAAAAGCTTTCTTTGAAGTGTTTAGTAGCTAGTAAATGAGATATCCACACGTTTGCCAACAGACATAGCACTTTTTTTTTCATGTGGGTGTGTGCATGCACAGTTAAATCAATGCTAACAACATTAGGTGGCATTGATGTCCACTGTGACAATGATTTCTAAGATCTTAACTAAGTGCTAACCATCATCATGGACTTAATGATTTTACAGTATTAAACAGTATAGCCCTGCTCCTTAGGTCTCCCTTCCTATAATTTCTGGCTCAAATTCTGCTCATGTCCCACAGGAGTATTAGAAGAGGACAACTGAATAGGGTAATGGTGAGTTTGGAGTGTGTTCTACAACTGCAGGGACACTACAGAGGGAAAAAAGCTGAGGGTGTCCAGAATCAATGACCCACATGATGTTAATAAGCAAAGACGGACAAATCACATTTTAAATTTTTTTGGCGGAAGCTTAACATGACTGCTGGTAATCTCCTAGTAGCAACCTCAAATTTATAGCACTGAAAAGGCTAATTTGAGATAAATGTAGATGGACAAATAATTTCCCCTTATCCAATGCAATCATTGCCACCACTAATGATGTACTACAACCACCACCACAGCAAAGTTTTCCACAGTTCTCATTTTGAATCAATCCCTACAAAAAGATTAAGGTTCTGTATGGTAGGAATGATGTCACTGAACAAAATTAAAACTGGGATTTTTTTTCAGTGACATCATTTTTTTGCTGGCAATGGAACAAAGCTCTCTGCACTCTTTGAGCCAAAGGAAAGGCAGGGGTGAAGCACAATGCAGTGCCGTGTTGTGTTTCTAATTTTGTCTACCATAATCCAGTCCTGCACAGCCACAAATCACACAAACACACCCACTAGCTTAGCGCATGGTGCTGCTAAAACTAAGTCTGCCTTTCTCTCACAGATCTGCTAACAGGACAGATGGTGTGTGTGTGTGTGTGTGAGTGAGACAGAGAGAGAGTGCACAGCTGAAAATAAGGGATAATGAAATTGAGGTGAATCATTTGTTAACATTATTAAAAGGTTAATAAAACAAATGGACAAGATCATCACTTCATAGACCTTAATTTAAATTAATTTGGACTTGAAGGGCAGATTGTGTACCAAAGCAAAATCATACGGTGCATAAACAGCTTCACTGTTTACTACTCCTCCTCTACTCCATTCTCTGTACATACAAAAATTTCTTCAGAGAAAAAAAAACAAACAAACAAAAAAAAAAAAACATACAACATACAAATAATTTAAATAAGATTGCAAGATGTTTGAGAAATCAGTGGCATATACCAGAACAGCACCGAATAATTTCTGCTATAGCCCGAAGTAGGATTTAATGCTGGCAAGCCTGATCTTAAATGCAATCTTAAGCCTATGAGATAAATTGAATTATAGTCAGAGAAAGGCTTAGAAACACAGACAAACAAAAACAAACACACACACAAAAATGTACAAACACAAGGAATGAGTACAGTGTCAACTTACTGATACTGTTCAACTGAAAGCCACTGGGTCAACCAAATCAAAAGAAAGAAAACAAATTAATGCAGAAGAATGGATTAAAAAAAAAAAAAGCCAAAGGATTAAAAAAATATGAAGCATAAAGGAAGTCATAATTAGATGCATGCAGTAAGCGATGAATGAGGTCACATCTACATATTAATCACCCCTTGTACATGAAATAACAGAGCCAGACTGATTCACACATCCATACGTAACATGCACACACATGCTTATTATGAAAACACATCCCCTTGTGAGGTACACACTGCCACCTGTACTCATACAAACATACAACGCACAGAGACACACAGGTTACCTGGTTGGCATATGCGTGTGTCAGCGCAGTGTGGTTCTTCCCTGGGCTGCTGTAAGTAGGTCTGTATTTGTACATGGTGGGAGTCGGTGGAGCTTTATTTAACAGGCTGCTCTCTGGAAAACAGCAGTGACATGTAAGCAACAAGTACATACAATTCTAACAAGCAGAGACAAAAAAAAACTTGGTCCAGTCCATTAAGCAGAGATTCAAAAATATCACAGCAATCCAGATAATTATGAATTAGAACCATTACACAGATCACTCGGGGGGGTGTTAGGGACAGGGCATTAACTGAGTAAATTTACAGACACAAATAAAATACAGTTACACAAATAAAAAATGGACAGTTAGACCCTTCCTATCAAAACAAGTGGGTTTTGGACACATTAAAGCTGAAAGATGTTTTGTGGTTTTGGACCATGCCTTCAACATATGGTGGCAGTATAAGGGCAGACTGGACTGGACTTCTGGGCCTTCCACAAACTTCTTGAGTTTGTGGAAGGCGCTATAGAAGCTGAACAGGGTAGCCTATGCTTGGAGCTAGAAGGCTGGACACCCACTTTTTTAGTCCTAAAAGTTCTTCTTCTATTAGCATTATTTTGCCTTAGCATGTCCTGCATGTATCTCTCCACCATTGGACTTTAAAATCATCAAAACTTCATCTCAAAAAACAATGAGTCTGGCATTGGACAACTTATTCGTAACCATTTTGTGAGGCAGCTTTCAGAGTCATTAAACTCTTCAGAAGTCTGGTTCCTATGACCACCGCTGTGAACAATTCTGACTTGGCAAGTTTCTCTAGAATGGAGCATTTCACACCTCTGAATGACTCTGTTTACAGCTAAACCATTCAATTGTGCAGAATTTTTGAGAAATAAAAGGAACTGATTTTGTCACAATGGTTAGTGACAACATCTACCAGACTTTCTGGTGTTACACAAGTATTCAATTAGTAATTACTTCTGCTCAGCCCTATTCTGTGTGTCTTCACGTGTGTTTACCTTCAGAGTGTCCAGCCGATCCTCTTGACAGGCCGGGGTATCTGAGCTCCGGTTTAGGAGGAGGAGGAGGCTCAGCATCAGCAGACTGACTCTCCATCATCTCTAAACTACTCTTTGACTGAGAGAGCGAAAGCGAGAGCAAGAGCAATTCATGAGTCAGCATAGATTACCATACAGCAAAAATATAAAACTGGCAGAGGAAGACAGAGAGCGATACAGTCACAGTACGTCTAATTCTGGTTTAAGACTTTTAGGGCTGCAACAATGAATTGACATCATTCATGCAAATGCAATATAATCATTTATTAAAGTATAAACAGATCTAAAATAAAAATCATTAAAAAATTTTAATTTGGTCAAGTGACATGACTGGCTTTTTATTATTTGTTTAAATGAAAATAATTACTGTTACAATTAAGTAATTTAAGTAAGTCATTCAAGGAGAGGAAAGGAAACAGGCTATTGGTGGCTTTGAGGCACAGACAGCGGTAACAATTGTGAATGCAGATGAAAAAGAATGAGACAGCAAACACAGAACAAAAGGATGATGTGAAGATGACCTACCCGGTGTAGATCTCCTTGGATACCGTTGTCGAGCACTTTGGCTGCCAGCTGCGCCTCAGAGAGCTGTGGCCGGAGGAAGGGGGGCTGCACTGACACTGTCTGAGCCCTTCGCTTCCTGCCCAGGTACCTGAGAATTGATAGAAGGCAGAAAGCATTTTCAGCATTGACAAACTGATTTTCTCAATAACAAGCCTGGGCAAAATGGCTTCAACGTGTGACCAGGACATTTTCTAATACTTTCAGTAACATTTAACTCAAAAAACATAATATATTAACCCTGTTTTACCTAACACACTGCTTAGGTGTGATGTGATACATTCAAGCCCCTTTCACTCATGCACTTTTGGGCAGGTGTTTACCGTTAATAAAACAGGAAGAGGTTAAGTGTGAACACTTAGTGTCATAGTGGAAATCCGGTAACGATGATATGGCAATTTACCTGCACGAAATCTAGAATGATACCCAAGAAATTACCAGAAAGGCTCATGTGTGAACAAAAGCTGATACATTGCCAGGACACACAGGGACGTCTAGATTACTGCCGATGAAGTGAAATGTTCCTGTGATGCTTTAGTTTAACTGCTGAGTTTTTTAGTTTAGAGAGTGAAAACACAATGGGAATGTATTTTCTAATAAAAGAGATGCTGCAAAGCTGGCAAAGCAAAACATCTGTATGTCAAATTCGTTTTCACTGTCGAGCTATTGTGAGAGAAAAAAGTTGCAGAAGTGTATTTTTGTCCATGATTCAAAAATGAAGGAGCTGTTGGGTGTTCATGCTGACATCATCATCTGTGTACAGAGGATAAATAAAAAAATCTACCAACTTTCATTTTTGTTTCGAAGAGTAAATTAAAGGCTAGAAATAGTCATTCTGCCTGTAGCTGAGAGAAAATCGTGCACAATAAACATATAGAAAGTAAAACCTTTGCACTTGGCTGCTTTTCATCTCAAAATCAAATTGTTTAGGTTTAATCTTTAGCTCATATAGCTGTAAAGATGCCAACAGGGTATCATGGGTAAACCTAAGCTTAAGGAATCTGGGTTAATATTCCGAAATACAGCAAAAATAGGCAAGAACAGCGTATGCTCAGGCAATGCTGTGATTTTTACTGCCAATAACACATTTCATTAATGAGCAGAGTTTAGTTTACCAGACACAGATCAAACCTAGTATTGGAATAACCACACAAGGGAGAATCGTCAAAGAAAAGCCCCTTTAGTGCAGGAGCAGACATAACCTGTGCATAACCAGTGCCCAGAATATGAGTAAAAACACATATGAAGGTGGAATTTATAGAATTTTCTGTCTGCTCCTGGAAAAATGTACATTATGCAGTCAGCTTAAAGGAAAGACTGAAGGACAGACCTGGGTGCCTGTGAGCTGCAGAGAACACGCGTCACATTCCTCCAGCAACCGTTAGTGAAAGGGTTCACTCCTCCTCTGAACTTCCCCGTCACCTACAGAGAAAAGAACAGATAAAAGATATTTACTCTCACTGTGTCATTTACACACCTCCACATACATGTGGCATTGCTTAGATTTTTTTTTTTGCTCAGATCTTTGTGCCTTGACTGTTTACATTTTGATTCGCTAGGCCAACGTTTGTCCATGTTAATTTGTTCATATTATTATTTGTTTAAAAGAAAACAATTACTGAAGTAATTTAAGTAAGTCATTCTTATTAGTAAGACCACACCTCTGCCCTGAAAGTTAGCTGCTGGTGACACACTGCTGAAGCTGATGACACTAGTGATATGTACAAGTTTGATAGTTCATTGAAAATAAATAAATAAAACAGATAAAGCACATGAATTCCAATTTGACCATTTTCACTGTGGTCATTTAGGTATGCAGGAGATAGGATAGTTGTATCTTGTGTGCTCTGAAAAATCATGTCTCAAAAAATGAAATAAGTTAATTAAAAAAATAAAAATCATATTTGGGCCATGTGAACATAGCCATATACACAAACCCACACAGTCAGCCAAACAGAACATGGCCTTGCAAAATGAGAATGGTTGTTTTGATAGAAAAAAAGAAGATCCAAAGAAGAAAAAATGGATGGGTATGAACAGGCCTGTCACAATTATTACATAATCATCAATCAATTATTTGAGATGACCACAATTATTTGAGATGACCACAATTATTTAAGCTAACTGCAGTCATCTCCCACTGTTGTTAGGTATGCTGTGACAAACAAAATGTGAATTAGGTGAGTCTGATTGATCCAAATAAATATAAACAAAAGGGAAGCAGTACATGCATTCATTGAGACAAATAACTGGTGTCACATATGTTCTAACTTCTAACTTAGTGTTCTAACGTATAAAGGGCAGTGCTGAGTAATGTTTGTGTGTCCTGTGAAGCTAATGTTAATGTTTTTGTACATGCTGACAGAATTAATGTGTTTTTAATTTTGTATAGAACATGTAGCTTTGCTTAACTCTTCAAACAATTCTGTGTAACTGTACACATTTGTTAGCTGCTAGGTAAATATATCCATCAAGTAAGGTGGCTAATCAGCCAATTTGGCCATGTGAAGCTTGTATTTTACAACAAAAGATGCAACAATGAACAATAAAGGCAATTAAAGAAATAATAATAATTATATGTGATAATTAACAGCTAAAAGGTCATGATCGTGACAGCCCTAGGTATGAAGACTGTTCGATGATTAGATAGGGAAAGAGATATGAAAGAGAGAGAGGGAGGGACAATAGATACGTGAGAGAGAGAGAGAGTGGGAGGGAGGGAGAGTGGGAGGGAGGGAGGGGAGGGAGGGAGGGAAGGGAGGGAGGGAGAGGAGGGAGAGAGGGAGAGGGAGAGGGAGAGAATTAGAGAAAGGGAAGGAGAGAAAGAGGGCATAAAGATTATGATCATAATCTGAATGGAGGTCATATTTGCAAGGGTTATAAAACTGCCTTACAAGGATTACAATCTTACCAACATGAGTACTGTTGGACTAGCAAAACAAACAAGACGGCTACAGATTATGACTGTACATGTCAAGTTCATGAACACGCATGCGTGCACACACAAACACACACCTGCTCATTAGTGGTCCGACCCCTTGCCACCAATACGATGTGAAAACCAGTAAGGCCTGCTACAGGAATGAAGAAAAGTCCAGCAATACACATGACAGCCATACTGAGAAGAAGAAGATCAAGGGAACAACTGCAGAATCATTGTATACATAAGACCTTGTTGGTGCACTTTTACATACTGTGACTCATTCCATGCACACTGTGTGTCAGACATCCTCTAGCTTGTCATCGGGGGTCAGTTTTTGACCACAGGAGCCTGTGCAGGCTGCATTCTGATCAGCACACTATTCTCAAACCAGCAGTGACACTGATCAGCCCAACATCCACTAGTATGTGACTATCACAATGTCACTGCTGTGCAGAGAATGCTCTAACACCTGTATAATACCTGCTCAGTGGTGGTTCTATGGTGATGCTGCTAGGGAGTGTGACTGAAATATTGTGTAGCAACAGATAAACTTTAGTCAGTAACTGCAAACATACAAAGTGCACCTGTTTTGTAGATGTACCTAATAAAGTGGTAACAGTGTAGAGGTCTGCTACCCAAACATCAGGGTTCAGGCTTAGTTTGGGATGATTTTTCACATACCTGAGCCTGATATTGTGTCTTTTGTAATGAATGTTTTTTGTAGTAGATATGTTGTTATTTGAGAAATAATGCCTAGGTAAAATTCACACACTCACATCAATTTCCTTTCTTGCGCTCACTCTCACTCAAAACATTATAGTCTACAGATGAATTCTTCAGAGTTTGAGGAATGGCTCAGTGTCTCCCTGAATAAAACAGGGTATAAAGTTCAGCAGTACATTAGTCATAGTCACACCATGGATGATGAATGCAATATGCTGGGGTGATGCAAAGGTCACAGCAGATCTTTCCTCTCCCAAAGTGTGTTAAGCATTTTTGCAAGTAGCGGTAGTAGTGAGTGGAACTTGAGAGCAGCAGGGCTAACAAAAATATACTGCTAATAAAATTGTTAGCATATTAAAGATGTGCAATACCAGTGTTTAGTCACAATGCAAAGTACTGTAAAACTGTATCCACGGGTTTCATTGAAAATTTAGCAGTACCAACTGGGTTTGTTCAGGTTGGGTCTCAAAGCCGCAGGTACAGGTTGGGTTCAGGCTTCATGCCCAAGCAGACCTCTAACCCAGTGTTGTGAAGTACTAATGGTTCCACACACTCACACACACAAACACACAGCATAGGAGGATACGTGACGGCGGAGTGTACTCTGTCAAGCTGCTGGGTGTGGTAGAGGATGAAGAGCAGGCCAAACCCGAAGACACCCATAATGTGAGCAGTCAGAGAGAGCAAGAACAGGAAGAAGTAGCGGTAGTTCCTCCTGCCTATACAGTTATTCACCCACGGACAGTGGTGATCAAAATCCTGCAGAGAGAGAGTGATAAATTGACAAAGAAAGAAATTTATTTTGAAGGCTTTGCACGGTAGGCACATCTGAACATATGCACGCACAAACAAACACACACACACACACACACACACACACACACACACACACACACACACAGACACAGACACAGACACAGAAGATTGATTAAGACCATGTTTCTTCAAGATCAGGCACACTTTACTTAATTAGCCTAATAAAACAGATTGATTTTGCCAGCACAGCAACAGCAAGGACAGCCTGTCTTAAGAGAGGGAAAGCTTGTGAGGGAGGGAGGAGAGAAGGAGACAGAGATAAAGAGAAAAAAAAACAGACAGCATTTGCTTATATTGACTATGGGCTGTGAGAGTGAGTCTGTGTTTATACATGGGTGTATCCATACCTCCACACAGTTGTCACACACAGAACAGTGTGAGCAGCGAGGTGGTCGGTAGAACCGACAAGTGGAGCACCACTTCATGCGCACCTGTATGCCCCGAATCTCCACCGTCTTATAGAGAGGAGCTCGGAAATCATCCTCCTTATCCTCATCTTCCTCCGCTGAAACGCAAAGACACTTATGAAAACATCTGACAACCACACATAACATGGTTCATGTTTTTCAATGGAACAGTCACAGAAAATTAGATGTATTGAGAAATACTTCCATGTGTTCAAGACACTTTATGATAAAGTGGTAACATAAATGTCCAGCACACAGGCATCACCACGGCAACGTTTACAGCAGTACTAGGGATGCACTGAAATTTCAGCCACAGGAAATGGTCAAAAGTGCTACTTTTGGAAAGTTACGGCAACAAAAACAAAAGATTCATAGGTGTACCATGAAGTGGTATCTTAAACTTAGAAAATCATCTGAATAACGATGAAATAATTATGAATAATAATGAGTGATTAAAAATACTGTTTGCTTCCTTTACTGTTTGAGTGGCAGCAGGTAAACAGAGAGGAAAAATAGTCATATGCCACATGGAACTATTTTGCCCTTTCCATTAGGGGTATTTATCTCTGTTCATCTTGAGTAAGCAGACATTCAGGAACTAAAGGTTTGATATCACTTGAAAAAACAATGTCCCGCTTGATGTGCAACACCTGCCGACACCATCTTTGCCCTTAGTTTCAGATGTGTTGAAAACAAATTCACAAACCACAGTGCCAAAGGGCAAAGAATAACTAAATAATAACAGAGTACTTTGCCTTCAGTGACCAACCATTCTCTGTTGTCAAGTTGTCGATACTGTGTTAATTTTAGTATGTTTATTATGTAAGTTTTTTTATTTACTGTCAGCTCAGTTTTGTCCTACTGAAACCTTAAGCATCAATATCAACAAAAAAAAGTGGTGGTTCTCTCTCAAGTTGTAGCTTTTAATGTTTAGTACATTTATTCAAAAGCATTAATAAAATTTTCTTTCAGTTTTTTAGCCAGGTGTGTTTTTTTTTTATTTCGGTTTTGGACAGAATTTTTCATCCCTCGTTCCTCTCATTGAGTCTCATTCATTTTCGCCACCACTCAATCTCTATTACTTCTTTGCACGACAGTCACCAAAATGCATGTACTCATTCAGGGCAGGTCTCCAAGCTCTGATCCACAGCCGTCCTGCTATTTGCTATCCCGCACTCCTCTATTTGTAGTTTTTTCATCCTTCGTTCCTCCCATAGAGTCCCATTCATTATTACCACCACTCAAACCCTATTACTTCCACATCACTAATCAGACATTCCACATTTCTGCTTTATCACAGCCCTAGCACATAAGTGTATATAACAAATGTAGACCATCTGGGAGACCCTAACAGCATGTTTGAGAACCACTGACATATATGGCTGCATGCTGCCACTGGTCACACATGTTGCTGTTTACACCCACTTTATAACCATGTTTTTAAAAAAAAATTTCTCCCAATTTCAGCATGTAAACACAGCATGAAGACTGATATAAGTTTTCTTCTAGTACAAATGCCAAGCTGTTAATTGTATCTGTCAGTGTGCACTGTTAGGTTCGTATGTGTAAACAATTTTACGACAGTGTCTACCTCTAGGGAAGATGCCGGGGTCCATGAAAGTGGCCATGCAAAAGTTGGCCAGCACAAAAAGGAACATGATGCCATTATATATTGGCACAGCAACTGAAAAATGCTCTGAAAGCCATGGACACCTGAAAGAAAAAGAGAAAGAACAACGGAAAACAGTCAAAAAACATATATTCAATGCCTCGTTTTCTGAAAATAATTTGCAGTGCCTGTCTGTGTCCGTACGCATACATCGACAGCAGGCGTATTTGCAGGGCTGCTAGTAATGTTGATGCTCAAGTATTTTGACTCAGGTAAAGGGGGCTGGTTGTCATGGGAACACTGACCCATATTTTGGACTATATGCTGGCTACTCCATCTCACTCACAAACACACACAGCAAAAACAAACAGAAGCTTATCCTCAAGGGACCGAAAGAAGGACCAAAAGAGTTGTAGAGCAGAAATAGAGACGATAAAAAAAGCTCATCTGAAACATCAATGAAACATTCAACTTCCCAGCATGGATAGATGGTGGGGGGGAAGATTATTTGCAAAGAGGTAAAGGAAGAGAGAAGCAGTTAGCAGAGTAGATGAAGTGGAAGTTTAGAAGAAACAGAAAAATATGCAGGTGAAAATGATGCCAACTTGGAGAATAGAGGAAAGAAGAATGGGAAGACCTTAAAAAGAATGATGGTGAAAGAAAAAGCAGAAAAAGGTACAGAAGGGTTAAAGAAAAGGTAAAAGGGGCTGGAGGATGACGGTGTGTTTTCGGATGCTGTGCAGCAGATGTTGGCCCATTTTCTGTGCTTTTCAGACTTTAATCCGAGGGTTTGGTGAGAAGAGAGGGATCACTGAACGAATGACTGAAGTGGAAAAGAGAAGCGACTGTGTCTGGCTGCCTGCCAAAAACACACTGTACACACACAGCTAATGTGTGCAGTGTGTATGTGAGCACTGAGCTTGACAGCTCATGACTGGTTAACCTAAGCATGTAATTATAAATTACTGTGAGACACTCATGCAGTTGTTGTTGCTACAGAGCCTTCTGACAGTAAAATGAGGAATCAAGTGAACAATTCTACTTCTCCTCATACTACTGTGAAGGACAAGAAGACACATTCAGATTATGATTTCAAATCTCAGCTCAGTGTTTTGATAGCTGCCTATCTCAGCTGAGGAGTCACAAGCTAGAGGTAAATGTTCAATCCATTAAACCAACAAGCTAATTAAGAAAACACATTCCTACTGGGAAGTCGATTGAGAATACTAAGGGATGATGCAATTAGCCAGACATTTACATTTAGGACATTTGGCAGACCCTCTTGTCCAGAGTGACTTAGAATTTTATTACTTTACACAAGTAAGTGAAGGCAGTGGTGCCCAAGGACTCTTTCTGCTACAGCAACTGTTTCTTTGTTAAAAATAAAATCACTAATATTTAAATAAATACAAATAAACAATACACTGTAATTTGATGTGTGCGAGGGGGTTCGAACCATTTCCACACCTCTCCTCGAGGAATGGCAGTATTTGCAAATACCATAAAATATGTGCTTTAGCTAATTCTTTATTCAGGTGGACTAATGGATATTAACAAATCCACACAATGGCTGGAGTTACTGCATTTTGGTTAATCTATATTTATTCTAACGTTATATAATGTGATACTTGCTGCCCAGAGCTGGGTTCCCCAAAAGCAACTTAGCACATAGGTGACACCTAAACGGTAGAGCAAGCATCACAGTGAACACTCTATACCAGTTAAGATGCTTTTGGGAAAACTGGGCCCAGATAAGTTTTACACACTTTTCTTGGCTGCCTAAGACTTTTAAACAGTTCTGCATACTCACGTGAAGCAGAAGAACAGCGTGGTTGCTCCCACCAGGAAGGCTGTTGCCGCAGACACTGGGACATAGCGACTAGGTCGGAGGGGGCGGGATGGAACAGTGGGGTGGGGCGGGGAGGCGGGGCCAGACACACCCCCACTCTTACTGCTGCTTGGCATCACCCAGGGAACTCCAGGAGCATCCGCCACAAAAAAGTGCCCTTGTAAGCAAGTGAGGGCTTGAATATGTGAAAGATGTAGGTGGAGACTAAGGAAGGTGAGGTCGTTCTTTTCTCCCTCGCTTCAATGTAAAGAAATGCCACAGTCTCTGCATAGTTTCAGCAGAAAAGTTAAAAATAGAACAGATCAAGGAAAAAAAAGATGAGAGGAAAAAAAGGCAGGGTTCGCAGAGTCCGCCTGAAGCGCTCTACGCAACACAGGCCTGAAAACTGAGGTCCATTTACTACCTCCAGACTTTCATGGGTCACTTTAAAAAAAAGATACAAAAAAGAAGTTTCTATGAATGGCTTATTTGAGATTATTGAGGATGAAACGATAAAAACCGTGAAAGCAGGTTCTCTGTAATATTCTTGGCTTCTCTGCAAATTATTAAAAGATCAAAGAAGTTCTCTCTTAATAGCCACAAAGACAGCACTTATTCGAAGGGCTTCAAGATAAAAACATCATGTTGGTTGTTTAAAATAGCACAATCTTCCAAACTAAAATGACTGACTATGAAAAAAAAAAAAAACTGTACAATAACCAAAAAAGGAATATGGCTCAAAGTTTTTTTTTGGTGAAAAAAAAAGTTACAAATAGTGTTAAATTAACCAAAGTGTTTTCTCTTTAACAATTGACACTGCAATGTGTGTGAAATTTAATGACCACAAATGAAATATTTTTTGTTGTAAAATAAATTTGGTTTACAGTAAAACTTAAGAGGTAGAGGAGAAAATGGTTACGACTTGATTCAGTAAGTTTTTCTTTGTGTCTTTAGCAAATGTTAGCTTGGCAGAGGTGAAAAAAAATACTAGCTTTGCCTTTTTGACAGACACATTGGCTCTGACAGTAGAGTCCGAGAAATAGTTTAAAGCTTACCCAGAGGGTCTGACATTTGGTTAATCACCTAATACAAGAACAAAATCAGAACTGAAAAAGGTGATAAAATTGAATAAAAAAAAGAATAATAAAACAACTTTAGTGCGTGTCCTGTGTTAAATTTTTTTTTCTGGCACACAAATGGCCGCCAGCTGAAGTTGTTGATCTTTTCGCCTACTTGAAAGCTGCAAAAATGTCCGTTGTCATTTCATTCAACACCTGGGAGGCTGCACTTCACTAAACAGAACATTCTTAAGTCTCTCTTTGCCAACTCGAAGCATTATTGAGGCACCCCAAAAGGCTGAAGACAGTGAAGGACCAGTCTAGAGGTAAATCTCACATCCAGTTTGCAAGTTGTGGATAAAAACTGAGCCTCAAAGTCTCTGACTAATAGCATGGGCACCAAGATAACTGTCTTTGAGAGGAGCAATAAAAATAAAAAGTACAAGAATCCTCTGTAGCGCAGTTCTTCCTCAGGTCTCCATCCAGCTGTCAAATTAAATTCAAGTGAATAACTGAAATGTTGCAAAAAAATGTGAATAATGCTGCGTTTGTGTTGTCTCAAAATCAGCTCTGTACAAAATGCTCACACACCCAAGCTCCTAGTGTGAGCAATCACACTCCAGAAACTACTGTTCATGGATTCAGGTCAGTGGAGCGACTCTAAAATGAAGACCTTAGAGCTACAGAGAATTCCAAATGCTCAGGTGAGCATGGGGAAAAATGGGGGATGACAAAACTGTGCAATAGAAAAACAAAAGTTAAGCTTTCTCCTGGGAGACTTCGGGGACTTTCTTGTGTGCTTGTGTGTTGTGTGGCCAGCTGTTGTTTCTTGGCGGATGACAGAGCATTACATAATCACCTTGGAGGGATGCAGTCTCAAGACAGTCTCTGGGGCCATGCCTACAGTTACATTAGAACGTGTGTGCATGTGTGTGCAAGATAGTATGAATAATCCGTTGAAAAGAGAAAGAAGTCCAACAGGTTAACACGTCCGTCCCACGTTGCAGCGATGCTTCTTTCTGAAGGGTGTGGTAGAGTGCATAGTAGGCCACAAACAGCTATATCTGAAAGAAAGAGTAAAAGAGAGAGAGAGAGAGAGTAATGAATTATTCAAGCCAAGAGTCAGCTACATTAAAGCATTTTCCAGAATAGTCAGGTCTCCATCCAGCTGTCAAATTAAATTTGTGAATAAGTGAAATTTTGCAAAAAAATGTGAATAATGCTGCGTTTGCATTGTTGCAAAAAACAAAAATAATCAGCTCTGTACAAGAGAACTCTCAATGCCACGTTTCCTGAGAAACTTCAACTGTTAAAGAGCTTCTTACTTTTGAAAGTGAAATGTTTTCCCGCTGGTGTGCTTAATTTTATTTCTGTATTCCACACTGTAAGAGCAGAGACACAGAATGAAGTGACAAACACAACTGCTCAGGAAATTTAGGCACCACAAATCTTCTGTTCTTTTACCATCTAATATTTACACTTAATTTCCTCATAGTCGACTGGTACACACTGTCTTTTGTCATAGCTATGGTCAGGCAAAAATGGTAGCACCTGATAAGTCACATGATTTTTTTTGCATTTACAGTATTTACTTAGAAAATGCGTGTCCATCATACTTTACTGGATTCCTTTTTACTGACACAAAATTCATCCACCTCAAATGAGCATCAGACTTTCATGTATGCAAAGTCTGGTGATTCTATTTGAAATCTGCCATTTCTATAAGCGTTTGTTTTATTTGATATGAACAAAAATACACTGATGGCAACCGAAACAAAAAAGATTAATCAATATTCATCTTTCAAGTCTATGTGAAGTACTTGTCAAGAACACTGACGCAAAGATTGACATGCATTTTCACTCTTATTTAGATTAGATCAGACTGGACTCCTGTGTGTGTTTAAAAAAAATAAATAAATAAATAAAAAATCTAATTCACATACACATTTCTAGAGAGAAAAGCACACAGGCAACCGCTTTACCCCTTTAGCACACTTCAGTGGTCTGGGCTATTTTCTCATCACTCTCTCTTCCTGTCTGTAAGGTCACTGTAAGTCCTCCCCCTTATCAGAACACCTGCATGTTAAGACAGTCCAGTACAAAGAACATAGCAAATGTTGAAACTGAGAAATTTTATTGGTTTTTGAAAAATATATGCCCATTTTGAATTTGAAACAAACAATACGTTCAAATAAGTTGGGACGTGGGCATGTTTACCACTGTGTTTCATCACCTCTTCTTTTAACAACACTCTTTTGGGAACTGAGGAGACACTGCTGTAGTTTTGAAAGTGAAATGTTTTCCCGTTCTTGTTTGATATAGGATTTTAGCTGCTCATCAGATCAGGGTCTCTTTTGTCGTATTTTTCATTTCATAACGTGCCAAATGTTTTCAGTGGTGACAGGTCTGGACTGCAGGCAGGTCAGTTTAGCACCCGGACTTTTAATACAGAGCCATGTTGCTGTAATACATGCAGAATGTAGTCTGACATTTAAATAAGCTGAAATAAGCAAGACTTTCCCTGAAAAAGACGTTGTCTGAATGGCAGCATATGTTGCCAAAACATGTATATATCGTTCAGCATTAATGGTGCCTTCACAGATGTGCACATCACCCATGCCATGTGCACTAATGCACCCCCTATACCATCATGAATACTGGCTTTTCAACTGTGCACTGATAACAAGCTGAGTGGTCTTTCGCCCAGAGGACGCGGCGTCCATGATTTCCAAAAAGAATTTTAAATGTTGATTCATCGGACCACAGAACACTTTTCCACTTGCCCTCAGTCCATTTAAAATGAGCTCAGGCACAGAGAAGGTGGCAGCATTTCTAGATCCTGTTTATATATGATTTCATCTTTTCATTTTAGAGTTTATTTGTGGATGCAGTGACAAACCGTTTTCACAGACAGTGGTTTTCAGAAGTTTTTCTGAGCCGATGTAGTGATTTCCACTACAGAATCATGTCTGTTTTTAATGCATTGCCACCCAAGGGCCCAAAGATCATGGCCAGCAAATACTGGTTTTTGGCCTTGTCCCTTGCATAAAGAGATTTCTCCAGATTCTCTGAATCTTTTAATGATATTATGTACTGTAGAGGATGAAAAGCAAAAGTTCTTTGCTTCATTCTTGATCGTGTAGTCTTTCACAGAGTGGTGAACCCCTCCTCATCTTTACTTCTGAAAGACTCAGCCTCTCTGGGATGCTTTTTTATACCCAAAGTTACTGATCTGTTGTCAATCAACCACCAGGTGATTTTTTAGCATTACACAACTTTATCAGCCTTTTGTTGCCCCCGTCCCAACTTTTTTGGAATGTGCTGTTGACATCAAATTCAAAATGGGTATATATTTTTCAAAAAACAATAAAATGTCCCAGTTTCAACATTTGATCTGTTGTATTTGTACTATTTTCAAATAAACATAGGGTTTAAATGATTTGCACATCACTGCATTTTGTTTTTATTTACATTTTGCACAGCGTCCTAACTTTTTTGGAAATGGGGCCGTATAGTCTTCTACTAACTTCCAAACTAACTTCCTAACTTCCAAAGTCTAAATAATGCATCATGGAATATTTGAAAAGCTATACATGGGTTGGAATTGTTAAGTCACTCTTTGTTGTTTGGCTTTTTCTTTTAAACTTAAATTAGTGATTTATTGTAAAAAATAATCAGTATATTAATCGGCCACTAATTCAATCGATAATACATTCAATTACTAGAGATGGCACAAGAAAACTTTTTTTTCTTTTCCAGTATCAGCACTGAAATCTTGAGTATCAGTTGATACCTATCCAAATTTTTTTTTTTTAAAACTTCTACGCTTCAAAATGAGTCGTTTTTAATTGAAGCCCTTCACTTAGGATAAGCCTCTAAAAGCAGACTATCATACTCAAAATTCTCTCTACCCCAGAAACTACCCCACAGGAAGGAACACACTGCTAACAAAATCACACAATGTGAGTGTTTACTGTTTCAGGATAGATTTGTTACAAGACAGGATCACATTCATTCTTTTTGCCCCTCTGATGTCCGAGCTAACATTTGCTGCTGATATCAGCCCAATATCAATAGTTGTATGCCAAATTTTGTGTGCCCTTGGACAAATTATATGTTTATTTGCTGAATTTAACATCTTGGTGAAAAAACATAAAATGTGGCCTGGCAAAAGTTAGGGCACATTTTACATTTTATATTTTATGTTTTCATTTTCAGTTTGTTCCTTGTAGAGAACAAGTTAACTTCTTTTCGCTTAGAAAATCAACAAAACATGCTATTTGACCAGGGTGTGTTTGCATATGACAGTGAACTCATGGATACAGATATGCCATCTCTATAAATAACAGTCCTAATAATAAATAAGACAGTCCTAATCTATGGTGTTTTCAACAGTATATGTGACATCACACCAAGCTTTGACTATCAAACAGTCAACCAACTTTTTCTAACCAGGCTTCAAGGCTGCTGTATTATATATATATATATATATATATATATATATATATATATATATATATATATATATATATATATAACCTATTAAAGTCACGTGTGTAGAGTTAGTGATGAGGACACTCACTGGCATTTTATCTTTCCCTTTTCTCCTTATCCTGCTGGGAAATTACTTCTCATGCAAAGTATAAAATGTGTTTTTCAATCTATGGACATGACTAGCCGTGTGAGTAATTGGGCATACATGAGCATTACAAAAAGAAGACTAGCTGTAAGAAAAGAGCGTTGAAATGAAGGTGAAAAGAAGGCAGTTGGAATACAGAAGGGGAGACATCAGAGTAGTGAGAATAAGATAAGAAGTGACAAATGTCCTTGTCAATTAGGGAATGAATTTGAAGGGAGAAGGGTTAGGCTTAAGGGCTCCAAGAACAAAATACCATACTGTGATTACATTGCTACATACTTAGATTACAGTACCACTTACACTATATGACCACAAGTTTGTGGACACCTGCTTATCCAATATTCTTCCAAAATCAAGAGTATTTATTAAAATGATAATAAAAAAAATCAAGTTTTTCCCTCTTTACTGCAGTAACAGCCACTACTCTTCTGGGAAAGCGGGAAAGCTTTACACTAGATGTTGGAATATTGCCGTGAAGATTTGATTGCATTCAGCAACAAAAGCATTAATGAGGTCAGGTATTGCTGTTGGATGATTAGTTCTGGATCACAAACATCACCTTTACTAAGGTATTTGATGGAGCTCCGTCACTCCAGAAAACTCAATTCCACTGCTTCACAGCCCAATGGTGGGGACCTTTATACCCCTCTAGCCTACGCTTGGCATTAGGCATTATGAATGTATGCGTGTATAACTGTTCAAAGACATGTTTGCTAGTCATGAACTGGCTGATGTCATTGAATTCTGCTCAAAATTAGTCTACAGTCCAAGTCAGTTAAAAGTCAGAAATGGGTTTTGAACTCTGACCTTGGATCTTTTTGGTAGAATGATCCATACAAATCAAAAACACAAAGGTGAACCCTTGATGGGACACGGTACAAGACTGGCCTGCATAATTTGACCTTGTACCATCATGTAAATGC